GGGGAAGGGGAAAGGATAGAAGGCCGTAAGAGGCGACGCAGAGACAGCGAGCGACAGGCGAGGAGATAGAGAAAGAGGTAGAGAGAGAAGAAAGAGAGAAAGAGAGAGATCGAGTGGAAGAGGAAGAACTGCAGATCGGCCTGGAGGCTTTTCCAGGAGAGTTTCTGGCCACACGGGCTCTGCAGATGGGAAGCTGCAGGCGGAGGAGGAATCCTACGAAGTACCGAGGTGTACTACATACTAGTTTACTAGTGTTAGTACCTAAGTAGTTAACTAGTAGTTACCAGGTACCTACTAGGTAGGTACGAAGTACCTGGTAGTGAATAGTGCAATCTGGTTGATAGTAGGTAGTTACTATGTAGTATATTATGAAATACTAGTTGTATTCTCAAGTTCATTGTTATTATTATTATGATTATTATTATTATTATTATTAGTTACTAGGTATCTAGTATGTACTCCGTAGGTAGTAAATGATTTTATTGGTATTATTTTCCCGTGTATTTATTTATTTTTATTCTTTCCACTGACAGGATTGGATGAAACGCGCTAATAGGATGGACTGTCTGCCGCAGCTAGTCCCAAAGCGGATAGCGCGTCGATCTCCCAGGCTTTCTCAAAAAAGGAAGGAAGGACTGGTGGACGTGCCTTCCTGACAGGTAGACAATTGGGCAAGAGACGGCCGAACAAGGGAAAAGAGCCTGTAGATTTCTTGAAACAACTCGGCTTTTGTCCATTGGAGAGCAGGAGAAAATCCCAGAGGCCCCTGCCTGCTCGATGCGACGCTGAGAGTCATGCACGCACCAGCCCCGCTGCTCTGAATCAACCGGCCAAAGTCTCTTGCATGCTGGCTTGCAGGAGAGAGTACGGAGTACGGAGGACCTAGGGAAGTACTAGCCATCGAGTGGAATACGAGTGTACAGAGTATACCTCACTTAGTAGGAACCTAGGTACTAACTCTCTGGAGGAACCTTCTAGTCGGTCCAGGCTTTCTGCCTCAGGCCAAAATATATCACTACGGAGTCTAACTTGACCACTCATCAAAACTAATACTGCACTAACACTAGTCATACAACAACAACTTGAGTCGCTCTACTCCGTACAAGTATCATCTTACAAGGTACTCCATACTCTTAGCGGAAAACCAGTTCCTCCAGATGAGATAGGAAGGACTAAATGCTATCCCTACGCGTACCATCTGCCCTGTACTCACTCACTCTCTCTCTCTCTCTCTCTCTCTCTCTCTGCACGGATGTTGCGCGCTGCAGTAGTCTAGCCGTCGGACTATCGGACCCATCCTTCCGGTCCCCTCCGGTTCACTGCCGCCAAGTAGGAATAGCTGCCAACTAACTAGTGACTGTTACGAATGCCCTCACTTTCCAGTGTCGAGCATCGTTCCAGCACCCACAGAGGTGGTCTGATCTGGCCTGCTTTGGCTTGTCAGGAACTTCCAATGCCTTCCAACCAGTTTCAATCGCTTGACACCCTCTCAATCGAACTGTTTAGTCTGAGACGACCCCCCCCCCCGACGCGGGTGGCCGATCGATCGATGGCCGCGACCCTGGACCCAGCCTAGGGAGCTGTCCTCTGGCCCAAAGCATTTCTAACGACGATGGCGGTAGTGAGAAGAGGAAAAAAAAAACCAGTCTTCTGCATTGATATGCATGCCTGTCTACGTGTCTTCTGCGACTCGAATGGCCATCTGCGACTAATTTTTCTCCCGTGACAGCAACTCTGTCTGCATACGTTCCGTCTCGTCCAACCGCTAGGCGCTTGATTGACCTCGACGAAACCAACCGAAAGAGAAAATAAAAATAAAAATAATAAACCATATCCAAGGGATAGGATTATACTTCAGGAGCTTCTTCAGAAATACTGACCTCTTGTGCTGGGTTTCTCCATGTTAGATGTCCTCCCGTCCATGGTCGGAACGGAACGCAGTGTGGAGTGAGTCTGGCAACAGAATGATGCTACTTGTAGTCGGATGATTTCTCCCTCCGTTTGACGTGTTACTTTATTGTGATAATGGAAATGAAAATATCTATCAGGTTAACTGTCAAGCAGACTACACTTCGGTCCGACAGCGAGAAGATACAACCGTGCGTTATTGGGGTTTGTTGTCAAGAGGACGCGATGGTGAACTACTACTACTTGTTCGTCGGAATTTTTCATCTTCGAAACAGCTCGCTGAGAGCGGGTGTGTCAACGAAAAAGAAAAAAGAAAAAGAAAAAAGATGTGCTGTGAATGGGCTCAATGATGGACTTGTTGGAGACTGAGGCCGACCCACGGTAGGCCGACCATCAGTCGCACAACTTAAGGCCACCGCCGAGTGAAGCTGCGAGCAGTTCGTCCCCTTGAGCAGAAAGGGCAGAAGAGGACGACGGTTAATGGGAATAGGATCTGGGTCGGAGTCAGTCAGTTCTGACCTGGTGATGCTGGTGATTAGATAGGGGGTGAGCGCGGACAGACAGGAATGTAGAGCAGTCCATTTCAATCAAACTCCCACTTGTTCTTCTCTTATACGCTGTGAATCAGCCTCATCCTCTCACTCTCTCACTTCTTCTCCCTTGATGCGTGTCTTGGCGCCCATCGTCGAAACGTGGTCGTGGGCACTCGTCCAGCTCCCTGTGCTGGTAAACCTTCCCCAACTTGCTTCTGCCTTCATTTTTGCCGTTCCTTTCTCTCCCCGCCCTTTTTTTTTTCCCATTCACACACCGCGTCGCGCCGTGAATAAGATTGATTCACAACCACAGAAAAAAGAGCACACACAAGAAATGGGGGGAGAAATAAAAAAATAAAAAGAAGAAGAAGAAGAAGATCATCTCCTGAAATAAAGAAGTCTGATGTCTACTCATGTCCTTGGTCACCCATGACTTCGCGGACTCCGACAGACTCCGTCGCCCATGCCGTGACCGCCATGAAACTGGAGCGCGACTCCTCCACCGACTCGGGGGGCTCTGAAGGGCATTCTGCCACGATGAACGGCCATCCAGCTTCTGATCAGCAAGGCGTGGAGAAGAAAGAAGAGTCGCCTGCTAAAGATGAGCTTCAAGACAAAGTCGGCGGCGACATCTCCGTCAAACTCGAGCCTGGTCTCCCTCCCAAGCTCGCGCGTTCGGCTTCCACCAAAGTCATCCCCAGGCCACCTGCCCTGTTCTCCCATCTGCCAGACAGCACCAAGGAGGCCCAGGCAACCTTTGATGTGATGACTGATTGTGCCTATGCAAATAAGTATATGGGGTACACTGAACATGCTATGGAATGTGACTGTGCTGAGGAGTGGGGTGAGTTTTCCTTTGTGTTTAAAAAAATTTCTTTTATTCTAGCACCATCGATCATGTCTTTTTTTTTTTTTTTTTTTTTTCTTATTTACATTTTCTCTTGCTAATATTTTATAGATACTTCTACCTCAATAAACCATGCGTGTGGTGAGGATTCGGATTGTATCAATCGTGCAACTAAGATTGAATGCGTGGGCGACTGCGGCTGTGGCCCAGGCTGTCAGAACCAGCGCTTCCAACGCCGCGAGTATGCTAGTGTCGCCGTCATCAAGACGGAGAAGAAGGGCTTCGGCCTGCGTGCAGAAACGGATCTGCGCCCCCATCAGTTCATCTTCGAGTACGTCGGCGAAGTCATTAACGAGGCCCAGTTCCGCCGGCGGATGAGGCAGTATGACGACGAGGGCATCAAGCACTTTTATTTCATGTCGCTCAGCAAGGGCGAGTTCGTGGACGCCACTCGCAAGGGCAACCTGGGCCGCTTCTGTAACCATTCCTGTAACCCCAACTGCTACGTTGACAAATGGGTGGTCGGCGAGAAGATGCGAATGGGCATCTTCGCTGAGCGCGCCATCCGTGCCGGCGAGGAGCTTGTCTTCAACTACAATGTCGACCGCTACGGCGCCGACCCCCAGCCCTGCTACTGCGGCGAGCCCAACTGCACCGGATTCATTGGCGGCCGCACTCAGACCGAGCGCGCCACCAAGCTATCCCACGCCACCATCGAGGCCTTGGGTATTGACGATGCTGACGCTTGGGACACCGCCGTTGCTCCCAAGCAGCGCGCTCCTCGTAAGCGCAAAACCGGCGAGGCCGACGAGGAGTATGTCGACAGCGTCCAGCCCCGCTCGCTTGACGAGACCGGTGTCACCAAGGTCATGGCCGCTCTCATGCAGTGCCAAGAGAAGTGGATTGCTGTCAAGCTGCTGGGCCGTATCCAGCGCTGCGACGACGAGCGGGTCCGCAACCGCGTTGTCAAGATGCATGGCTATCAGATTCTGAACTCCCAGTTGGCCCTGTGGAAGGAAGACTTCAACGTCGTGCTCCAGATCCTCGACATCCTCGAAAAATTCCCTCGCCTCACCCGCAACAAGATCATCGATTCCAAAATCGAGGCCACCATCGAACCCTTGAAGACCTGCGGCGATGAACGTGTCCAGACCAAGGCCTCCGCCCTACTTGACGTCTGGGCCACCCTCGAGGTCGGGTACCGTATCCCGCGCATGAAACGCGACCCAACCACAACCACCATCAATCAATTTGAACGGCGCGAATCGCGCAACGACCGGGCTCGGTCGCGGTCGAAATCGAAATCCAGGTCTCGGTCGAGATCCAGATCGATAGATGCACCTCGTGGCCCAGCGGCTCAATCTCGTGGCGCCAATGGCAGTGGGAGCCAACGCAACCGCAATGGGCCCCGGGCTTTCCGCCGCCAGTTTAGACCTCTCCCGGCAGGATGGTTTGCAGCTGAAGACAACGGCCGCACATACTACTATTCGGCGCGTGGGGACACAACCTGGCGCCGGCCAACGAAACCCGCTCCGCAGCCGCCCAGTGTGGCCGAGACCCGGAACAAGGCGCTGCAGGACATCATTGACGGGATCGTGAATGCCAAGGAGGAGACGCCCAAGGAGAAACAGCCGACCCCGGGCACGCCCCAGGCGGCCAAGCCGGTTGAACCCCCTACTGAAGTCAAGGAGGCGAAATGGAAGAGCTACCCCGAGGACAGGCAGAAAAAGCTCTACGAGAACACAGTATGTTTTCCTTCCTTTTTTTTTTGACAAATTCGCGATGGATCCCCCCCCTAACTGACTGTCTAGCTCTACCCTCATATCAAGTACGTCGTGGACAAGTTTAAGCATAAACTGCCCAAGGACGATTTGAAGCGCTACGCAAAGGAGGTATGCATTCACCTTTCGGCCTGAAAAAAAAAGAAGCTACTGACGATGACAATAGATTGCCAAAAAACTGGTCAACTCCGACTTCAAAAACAATCGCATCGAAAACCTCCATCAAATTAGCGAGAAACAACAGAAAAAAGTCAAGCAATTCTGCAAGGAGTACTTTGACAAAGCTGTTGTCAAACACCGCGAGTATGAGAAGAAAAAGGCCGCCCGTGGTGAACTGGTGGATGCCGATGAAGAAGAGACAAAGACTCCTGAAGAGGATGTTCAGTTGAAGATCTCGGACGACGAGGGCGACGGCGAGGGCGAGGGCGAGGGCGACTGTGACGGCTCGCTGAAGCGCAAGCGCGAATTGCGAGAGGTCGGATCGCCTGCCAAACGTCAGAAATCGTTCACTCCCCCACGGCTCGACGACAAGATGAATGGTATCAAGGTCAACGGTGTCGAGGATAGTGTTCACTCCAACGTCAAGGCTAACGTCGACATCGACGGTGCCAACGATATCCCAACCCCCCCTCCTCCGCCGCCTCCTCCCCCTCCCCCTCCGCCGACTGCTCCGGTGGAGAGTGACGAGGAGTACGAGAGCGATTTGGACGGGATGGATCTGGTGACTATTCCGTCGCACCCGCGTGTGATGAACGAGTGAAGCTGCATTTCATGACTCATGGAAATTGATGGCATCTACGATGTCTATACCCTGTATTAATAGAAGTTAATTCAACACTGCAGTAGAAGCAGCAGTAGTAATTTTGAAGTAGTATTGAAAGTAGTCAGTGTAATGGAAAGCTATCTAGTAGAAACTCTCGACGATACTCTCCTTGTTAACACCCTCGCCGAGGCCTCTAGGCCGCATCTCACCCAGTCTGAATACACTCTCGACAACACTCAACTCGGTGGCCGTGGTGTCCAGCCCCGTCACAGCCAACCAGTCGTTGACGACCATTCCCGCGCCGACGACGGGACTGCCGCGATTGACACTCCCCGCGACAAGAGGCACCTGCAGCAGCGAGGAGAGCTCGTCCTGGTCGCGGATCGACGTCTTGGGATGCACGATCCCGCCTTGGTTCGAGAGAGCCATGTACGAGCCTGTCAGGACGTTGTCTGCAATGGTTTGTCGGAAGACCTCCACGCCGAGAACATCGGCAATACTAACCTTATTAGCTGAAAACAAAAGAAGAAGAAGAAGAAGAAGAAGAAGAAGGAGAGGTTGGGGAATACATTTCCTCCGTTTCCCGCTCTAGATCAGGATGCACAAGAGCAACATGATCGTTACAGCAAATCACATTCCCCAGTGCGGACAGCCGTTCCTCGATACGCTGGATCTTCACCGCGTCCGGAAGGGTATTTCGTAGATGCTGCAGTTCCTGGTCTGTCGTCGTCGTGGGGACGAGAAGGCCTTTCCGGTTTCTACCTCGGTCAGATCTGTGCCTCGAGCATCGCAATTTTCTTCATGTTATGTATAGCTACCCTGCCGTTAACCGTCCCACAATTCTAGTCCCGGCAATCGTCGCATGGCAAATGGGAATGACATCCTGCAGTTCCGCCTCGAAGACACTGAAGGACGTTAAGAAAAGAAATCGGAATCGGAATCAGAACAGAGATTTCAAGCACACCTGTAGAAATTCTCCGACGCCCCGATGGCAACAATCGCGTACGAGTTCGTCAGGCGCGCAAAGACACCGACCCTATCAGGATGAACAGTCAGTTATCATTATTCCCTGCTCTTCGTGTTTTTTTTTTTTTTTTTTTCTGTTTTTTTCGGCGTCTCACTCGTTGGAGTTCTCAAACTGCGCGCGCACAGCCATGACTGTCTTTCTTTCTCTGGTCTCTCTGCTCTTGACAGGATCGGGGTCCACAGAAACGAGTAAAGGTACAGAGTACACAAACTGTACAGATGGGTTCCAAAAAGAGAGGGAATCGATGAAAAATATCGAATTCTCTCGAGTTGAAGTGACGTCGGCGGACGAAAAAAGCAAAGTGGGGGAGAAAAAGTGGGAGAACGTCGGGAAGTTTTGCAGGTGAAAACTTTTGGACTTGATAATAGCGAAAATTAAAAATTAAATAAAATAAATCAAAATCAAAATCAAACAATCTAATAATAAATAATCTACAAGACAATCTTCTATAATACTCTTAAACATATATGTACTATACACTCCTACCCCTCGACTCATCACGACTCATAGTGATTCATGGTGGGGCATCACGAGTCGAGTCATAAGAAGGACAACAATAATACGACCCATGACGAATCTATGTAGTACCACATCCGTTGACTCTAGAGTAAATCATATTGACTGGAATCATGTCATAGCTAGTGTACAATTATGATACAATCGCGGCCACACCTGAAGCCGGCCTGATATCAGAATGCGCCAGAAGAGGAGAAAGAAGATGGACAAAAGAGAACAACTAGAAAAATAAAAATAAAACAGGGAAAAGAAGACAGACAGAAAAGAAACAAAGGAACGCTAAAAGAAAGAAACAAAGATTCATTATTCATAGATGCCGGGCCACAGCCTGCCGTCCCCCCCCCCCCGTGTCGTATCATGGCCGCAGATGTATCATCCATCCGCGGGCTCCTCCCCTCCGCTCAACTCACTGGTATGGGTTGCGAGGAGGAGCAGGAGGAGGAGGAGGAGGAGGAGGAGGAGGAGCCGCGTAGGGATGATACATCTGCGGCGGGGGCGGCGGCGGGCCTCCAGGCAGGTAGCCCGGCATCGGCGGCCGCTGGAAGTTCGACCCCGGCGGCGGGGGCAGCTGGGGGGGGCCGTTAAACCCCCCGAAGGGATCCAGCCGCCCCGGCTTGTCGGTGATGGGGGGCAGGGGCTGACCGGCTGGAAGGAGACGCCGGTGCTGTTGCTGTTGCCCCTGCCCCCCTTGTTGTGGTCCCCCCGGGGCCGGGCGGGGGAGAAGAAATGAGCGAGGGTCGGTTGGCCCCGGGGGGATCAGCGGGGACGACACCTGCTGCTGCTGCGGTTGTTGCTGAGGTGCCGGTTGGGGCAGAATGGTGCGATGGGTAGCACCACCAGCAGCAGCAGCAGGTGTCGTCATCACAGGTGGTAGGCCGGGGGGGGGAGGAGCATTGCTCGACTCCCCCCCCATGGCCAGGTCGGCCAGGACGTTTAACGCCGCTGTGTCGGGCACCTGGTCCAGCGCGCTCATGGCCTCGAGCAGCAGGTTGATTGCTGCCGAGGCCATGGCTGGACGGTCGGAGATGGGGGCCACCACGGAGGCGGAGGCGGAGGCGAAGGTTGAGGCGGGGGCAGAGGCAGAGGCGGCATCCCCCTCTTGGCTCATCTCCTTCATCTGCGGGTTGAGATCACCGCCGAGCTTGGCGCGTTGGACGAAGTCTTCCCAGCCGGTCTTGGCACGCTCGTGGGCGGCCGCGCCAGGGAGGGCACGTACAAAGGAAGAGTTGTAACCACGGACAAACTCCTTCCTCAGATGGGAGAAGATACCGCGTTCAACTTCGGAGTCGGATTCGTCGGTCTGACGGGTCAGTGAGTTGGTTATATCAAAAAAGGGAGAGAGAGAGAGAGAGAGAGAGAGAGAGAGAGAGAGAGAGAGAAAGGTACCTCTGTGTGTTCATCGTCTTCTGCAGCTTGACGGCCTCCAACAAATGCCATGTAATCTCCTTGAGCCGCGAGCAGGTGTTCCTGGTGAATATGCTGGGCCACATCCTAAGAAAGGAAAGTTAGTAGATGATCAAAAGTTGGGACATGTTAGGGGGAGAGGACAAAGCTTACCCTGAAATGCTGTTGAATCTCCGCCGTATATGCTTGGTACAGTCGATTCTCCTGCTCAACCTTGAGCTCGTATTCGTGACGCAGGGCGTTTTCTTTGGCTCGAAGGTGTTCTCTGAGGGCCTGGTTCACCTCGTCGTACTCCGGGACGTTCTTGTGGGCGTTCTTATCTCGAGCAAGGCGCCGGTGCGAATGCGTGGCCAGAACGCTGAGAGCGAGCCGCTGGGCCGCGGCGACCTTCTTGAACGTCTTGTCCAGTTCACGCTGCCGTTCGCGGAGCTTCTGGGCAAGAGCCGTGTTGGCCGGGTTCAATGCAGGGTCTATTTCGATCACCTCGCTTGATTCCCGCGTTGCCGCACCCCCGCGAGCACGACCGCCCCGGCCCCGGCCCCGGGCACCACCCCGGTTGCGGCCGCCTCGGCCTCGAGCTCGGGTGACGCGACCACCACGGCCTCTGCCACGGCCTCGAGCAGTCGCAGCGGCGATGGCCAAGACATCTTCGGTGGTGGAAATCTCGACGTCTTCCGTTGCGGTGCGTGATTCGCTTGGAACGGTGGATTCGCCGGCCACCTCGGCCACAGACTCTGAGGGAACGCTGCCACTGCCGTTTGGGAGGAGATGGTGCGACCGTGGCTCGGGGAGATCTTCTTTTTCTTCTTCAGACTTTGGTTCGGGTTCGGTGAAATCAGGATCTGCGTCGTCCATGGCGATGTCGCCGTCGCGATCTGTCGGTCTAACGTCGTCGTCGGTCGTCTCTTCGTTCTTCTCCGCAGTGGTACTCTGTTCAGCGTTTCGAGCATGAACGTCGTCTCCTTTGGGTACTGAGGCTTCACCTCTGGCAGGTCCTGGTTCGACGACGGATTCAACAGGTGCAATCGGTACAGTCTCGCTGGTGTTGGTCGGGGTAGTAGAGTGTTGTTGGGTGCGATTCTCGTTGGCAGCTTGGGACACGGGTGCTTCCTCGGTCGGTTCAGCATGAGAGCTTTGAGATTGTTGAGGCTGGAGTAGCTCTTCTGCGATTTCTGGGGCTTCATCGATAACGCTGTCATTCTGCTGAATGACTGGCTGCTGTGCCCGTCTATTGTTTCGTGATCTGGGATTCTTTTGGGGACTTCTCCGAGAGAGATTCAAGTCGATAGTCTCGTCTGCATCAGCGCCAAGGGGTTGGCCGTTCAGCCTCCTGGACTTTCTGACAGTCCGAGGTGACTCGTCGGGCATAACGGTTCGTCTGACACGCTTCGGCCGAGGAGTGTCGATCTCTGGCTCTGCTTCGGCCTCGGGCTGGGACTGGTGCTCTTGAGCTGGTTCTGAAGCTCTGGCTGCTTCCGCTTCCTGTACTTCGGCCTGTGCCTCTGTGGCGGCCTGTGATGCAAGAGAGAGAGGAGGGGAAGCCTGAGTGGCCTGAGTCATCTGAGGAGCCTGAGGAGCCTGAGAGGTCTGGGGATTCTGTTGACTCATGTCCAGCAGAACACGACCGCCAGCTCTGAGAATGACGATACGGCTCCGGCGGCCATTACGCATCACCGTGGAGCGTGTCCCGAGACGCGTGACTCTGGGATTGGCAACATCATTTGAGGCGTCTGTGAAGGGTCAGCAAAGGACACAAGAGAGAGAGAGAGAGAGAGATATACGTACCAGGAGCATCTTGTGCATCCTGCGAGGTCTGAGTGGATTGTGAAGCTTCTGCAGACGCAGGGTTTGAGGTCTTGGGAGCCGCAGGCTCTCTGGTAGCTGCCAACTTGCGTTTGACACCCGCCATGGCTAGGTATCGAATGAGTACGTGATATGATAAAGAAAGAGTAAAAGAGTAGTGGATAGAACAGTAGAGGGAATAGTAGATGGAACAGTGATGGAGCAGGGATGGAACGGTGATGGGATAGAGAAAAGCTCTTGGTAGAGATAGAGAGAAGGAGAAGAGTAGGAGAGAGAGAATGTGGGAAGAGAAAGGGAAGAAATATGAAGAAGAAATAAGCGACGGGTGGCAGGGAGGGGAGATTCGAAGTGAGAGAAGTGAGTGAATGGCGATGATGCAGACACTGCAGTGGGGCAACAGTGAGAGCAAGGTGAGAGAAACAGTGACTGGAAGGAAGGAAAATCCAAAGGTTTAGATATTGAATGAGAGATCGAGCCCCGAGGAACCCCGATCCTACTGTTTCAAAGACAATAGCAGGGCGTGTCTGGCGTCCTGGTCAATTGTCCCTGGGATGGAGAGGTTTTGCACTCGGCTTTCCCAGTAGAGACGATCTCCACGACGAATACAGGACAACGAATCCAGAAAAAACAAAGCAATAAATCAGGAATACTAGAGGAAAGAAACAGGGAAATATCTCTAGAAGAGGGGATATAAAAATCAAGAGCCAGAGTGAGAGAGAAAATGCGCAGCGCTTAGTTGGGTTGGATGGGGAGAGCCAGTCCATCCAGGGGGGAGGAGATGAGAACCACAATCGCGTACAAATCAATCGAAATGAAAGAAGAAGAGAAAAAAACGAAGGCTTTTGAGTGAATATGCTTTTTTTTTTTTTTTTTCTTTAAGAAAAACATTTGAATACTTACCTAGATGTGAGAGTTGATCGAAGAGACGCGGCGATCGAGGGCAGTCAGTAAGTGGAGAAGAATGTGTAGCTAATTGGTAGGAGGTAGTGAAGGATGATGGCTTCAAATGACAAGTGAAGACTAGAAAAATCACAAGAAGATAAAAAAAGAAAACAAAAAAGAAGGAATATGGAAAAGGAGTAGAGATCAATGAAGATGATGGTCGAGGGAAGATGGATTGATTCTTTCGTGGCTGTCCAGACAGTGCTGGTGCTGCGTCTTGCGCCCAAGCCCATGCAAGCACCTCGCTGGTAAGACCGCAGGCCTCGAGAAGGAAAAAGAAATTGACTAGCTGTTTCCTGGAGAGGATTCCTCTGGTCAACGAACCTCTAGGAAGTCATACCTGGTCGCTGAGACAGGGTGAGCACTGAGGCATGTAGACGGACGTTGGTTAGTTGAAGTCCTGTACTCCTACTTAAACTATTTACTGGAAAATTGTTAGCCTCACGGGCCGCTAGTGCTTAGTCGTCCTAGTAAGTATAGTTCATATATAGTTAAATTGTAACTATAGTATGACTATTAAGTATTATTTATTTATATAAATTATCATTATATTATCAGTTTACTTATTATATTTCTTAGTGTGCTTATTTTATATATGTATATCAAGCTAATTGTAGTAGAGTTATTTGTCTGTTCCATGGACAATAATAGAAGGATTAACTATAGGCAAATTTTACCTCAGATACCGGTATAGATAGTATGTACCTAAATATGTACTAACTATTATTATTCAATAAGACTTACGTATAGATATTGATATTGCCACTAACTGACGTACTATTTATTTATTTAGTGAAACCCCCGAGAATGGGCATCGACGTATGTACTCTATTTACACATATACACCGGATCATAACATCATATCCTCGACAACAAATGGACAAAAGAAGGGAACGAGAGAAAAAAAAAAAAAAGAGAGAAAACGAAAGAAAGAAAGAAAGAATATCAACTCAATGTACCTAGCTCTCCTCCGGCGATTCGTCCAGATTATACCGCTTCTCGTACCGTAGCAGGCTGCGACGTACATCCGCCGCAAGCACAATCCCAGGAAACAGGCCATTATTATTGTCGTGATTAGGATTATTATTATGATGATGATGATGAGTTCTGGTTGTGTCGTTGAGTCGACTTCTCCGCTCTCCGCGCTCGCTCACCGTCTCGCTGCGTTCCAGCAGCGACGTCCGCGAGCGCGTCGCGTTTGCCCGCAGAGACGTGTTCGACCGCATCTTGCGTGCGCTTTTCACCGTCACCGTCTGGCCCGCCGTCGGGGCCGCCGTCACCACCGTCCCCGGCAGGGCCGTCGGCGGCGTCGGGCTGCCGCTGCGGAACAACGGGTGGATGTTGCGTTCGTCCGGTATAAAGGCTGGCACGGCTCGCAGCGTCCGGGGGGAATCGGGCTCGCTGGACACCGTGATCGTCGGAGACGGCAGTGCCGGCGAGATCAGCGTGTCCAGCGACCGTTTGATCTGCGATGCACTCCGGTGTAGTCGCCGCCCCAGCCCGCGATCCTCGAGCACGAGGGGCCGAGGTCGGTCGAGTAGTGAGGGAGCCGGATCATCCACGCTGGGTTCGGAGACAAGAGTCGGGCCCGGTCCGTCTGTAGATGCTGGGGTGACTTCTGTTGAAGTGGCTGCTGGGGTGGCCGCTAACTCGGATTCCGGAGCATGGGTTACCGGAGGACTTTCCAACGGGGGGGATTCCTGTGTCGGTTGGGACTCGATGGAACTGCGCTTCGAGTCTCGCCGAAATAGCGTCAGCCCCGAGTACCGTTTGGAAAAGCGCGAGCCGGACCGGGACAGGTTCGAGTCCACGGGCGTCAGCCGGTCTTTCGGAGAGTTCGACATGGAGTACCGTTGCGACTCGTAGGTGGAGGAGGACGGTAAGGACGAGGAAGGTTTGCGTCGGAGATCACTGTTGTGTGACCCCAGCTCGCCCTCGGGCGAGAAGGGGCGAGGCCAGTCGTCACTGTAGTGGCGCGGTTCCTCCAAAGACGGTACCAAAGCGCCACAGAACAATCCCTGGAAGAACACGGAGACCGACCACGCAACGTTCCGAGCCATAGAGAGTGGGTTCGGTCCCGGTGAGGCCTCCGCCGCAGACGCCGTGGTGAGATCCCGGGCCATGGTTCCGTTTGCCAACGCGGCCACGAAGAGCAGGTACGCGGTACCCAGGTAATAAACGTTTGTCTTCCACGCTCTCCGCTGCGGGGGGTCGGACTTCTTGAAGCGGTCTCCGAGGAAGATCAGAATCAGTGCTAGGAGAACGATACAGCCGAGTGCACTGAGGGCGATGGCTGCCGAGTCGATTAGTCGAGTACTGGATGACGAACACTGGTTGGATGAGGAACAAATGGCGCTAAGAACAAGGGAAACAGAGCTGAAGACAGCAGCAGCGGTTCCGAGATAATATAGCAGGTTTGGGGATAATGACATATTGAAAAGAAGGGAAAGCCGGCTGATCGATAGAATGAGGTTCGCAGGAGGGGGGAGGTGCATGCATGTGTGGATGTACAAACACGAGAACGAGGGATCGTCCCTCTCACCAGTAGTCAATATTAGGCTATCATTGACGGAGAGAAAGACGTTCAAATGAAGCCAGAAAGGCGAGTGAAGGAGAGAGAGGCAAGTAACGCCGCCGTGAGATGCTTGCGAAGGAACAGAATATCTTGTCACCTATGCCACAGGGCGGACGGGATAAATATGAGCAAAAAAAACCCTGGGCCCCCAGTTGGCCAATGTGCAAGCGGGGGAAGCGAACACAATGCTGGGATTGTTCAATAGTATTCATAGACCATGGATCTCGAGACACCAATCGTGCCGCATGAAATGACGGCGACTGTGCCGCTGGGGCGCTGATTATCCTTCCGATTGACATCCATGCGGCGCGGACCGCTCTACGGCATGAGCTTCGGGTACACCACGGCTCATGGACCGTGAGGGAGAGAGAGGGAGAGAGAGAGAGCGCGCGCGCGAGTGGAGGCTGTTCCTGCAGCGGATATCCTTCCGTCTTCCTAGATCGGATCGACCAAAGAACGGCCTCGATCTCCAGCAACTGATCCAATTGAGGGCTGTGGCATTATTCAGGGGCATTATCAGCTACTGCAAGGATATTGCATCAGAACTATCATCAATACCCCGTCTGGAGTATGGAGTACTCCGTATCAGCTGGGCCTGTTGTGGTTCCTGGTAATCCAAATAGCGGCTGCCTGGTCCATAGTTCCTTGATGCGAAACAAGCCGATTCTAAACCAATTCCAGTCGGGATTCGTTAGAATAAGCCACCAGGGCCATTTGTGTATATGGCTATGGTCGAGAAGAAGGAATGGATATCCCCATGACGGTATAGCGCTGAGGGTTAAGCTCGAGCGGTTGATGGTTAGCTCGGAGATCGCGTCGCCAACAGTCCGGGACGGCCCTGGCTGATCACCGGCGCCTCCTAACCCTGAGAGATCGTCAAGCGGCGAACGAAAGTACCGAGCTAGGAGGTGACATATCGAATGGCAAAGTGTGAGGAAACTCTAAAAATTCACCGTCTCTTGTTCCTTCCCCGCCCCCTTGTTTGGGCTCTATTGTTCGTGATTGGAAGGACAGGGACGGCAATCCAGGAAATCGGGATTCTCCAAGCCATCCGTGCATCAGGTCCAGTCAGTGCGCCAAAAACCGGTTGTCATTTTTGGATCAGTGGACCTCGATGGCGATAACTATGCAATGTGTGACACATCAACAATGAGACGTGTAGAGACGGCTGGTTGAATCCGTTCTGAAGACCTTGCGACGTCGAATTCGATCTCTCCTAGAAATTGACTCTGACAAATAATACATCTCAGCCGCCCTTCGCTCAGAATGAACGGAATGGTGAAAGAAGCAGGAGTACGACGTAGGTCAATATCTGTGTGGCACCCGGGGGGGGGGAGCTCGGCAGCTCGGGACCCCTGTCAATGACCTTTGTCTGCTTCGACCCTTTCGGTGTCTCCAGACGATCAGTATGCCCTGTCAGACGCGCGGAGTCGCCGCAGAATCTACACTGCCACCGGCCCACTGACCATGGATCCATCCGGAGCGATCTCTGTGGAATCGAGACAAATTCCCAGAGCCGTGCCGAGTATCACCGCTACTTTCGAAGTATCAGGTCGCGCCTTGCCGAGGTTCGTATCCCGTCAGATGCGTGCTGGCCCGGAAACCAGACTCTGCCGTGGTACGGAAGTACCATTGTCGACCCTAAAGCTCCTCAAGTATGGGATATTAAAGCATTCTGTGCTCCGGGAGAACAATGGACGTCGTTGTTGCTGGGATGAAGGAACCCTGGCACCTGACCAGGATGGTGTGGCTAGTGTAATGCTGACTTAGCGAGGGGTGTGGCTGCTGATGGCTGGACAGGCAGCCACCGCCTCCAGCTGCTCCTCCACCTTCTTTCGCTTTCATCATCGATCCATTCTGCACTGCTGTGTGGTGTCGTAACGAAGCTCGTCTAGCATCTACCGGGGCTTACTTCTACTCTACCGTCGTTCTGTCTGATCAGGAGCATCGTGTTTCTATTCCCCAACTCCCTCTAGTCTTCCGTCGTCCAGAAGTGGCGCAAGATGAAGCTCACTTTCAAGGTACGTCAGCCCTTTCGCCGCCTGTCAACTCGTCGTCCGTCGAATCTAACGTGCTTTCATCGCCTGCTGTAGGATCTGAAACAGCAGAAGTTCGTAATTGAAGCCGAACCTTCAGAGACTGTACGTTGTGCGCCTTTCCCCCCCCCCCTCTCTGCCGTTGGACGCTTGCTTGCTTTTGTTTGGCAGGTGCGGGGCTAATATGAAATCTTCCTCTACAGGTTGGACAGGTGAAAGAGAAGATCTCGAAAGAAAAGCAATGGGATGCTGCTCAGTTAAAGCTGATATATTCTGGTCGGTCTTTGGCTCTTCTTCCCTCGTTTTCAGAGATGTTTTGGCAAGCGGGTGCCCCTCATTTTGCGGACGCTGACAACAATCCTTTTTCTATTTACACAGGCAAAATATTACAAGATGACAAGACTATCGAGTCATACGGCATTGAAGAGAAGGGCTTCATAGTGTGCATGGTCTCGAAGGTATGTTGATTGGGTTTTTCTAAGCCATGTTTTTCTTTGTGGTCCAGATGCTAATCTGCCTGGCTCTTCTAGCCTAAGGCTGGCTCCTCCTCCGCCACTCCTTCACAAGCCCCATCCACGCCCTCCAGAGCTGCTGCATCGACTCCCGCCGCTCCTGCAGCCCCGGCTCATACTACAAGCGCCGCTGCCCCGGCGGTACCGGCAACACCTTCCCCAGCGGCCCCTGGCGCCACCCCGGCGGCCGAGAGCGGACCTGCCTTTAGCAATCCTTCGGCGTTGGCTATGGGCACCGACAATCCCGTGATTGCCCAGATGGAGTCGATGGGATTTGCCAGGCCGGATATCGAGCGTGCCATGAGAGCGGCCTTTTTCAACCCTGACCGTGCCATCGAGTACCTTCTGACTGTATGTATTCCAGTGATACAGACGGACTACCCTGGGAACCGCATGTATCTAATATCTATTTTGTTTAGGGAATCCCCGAGAATATTCAGCAGGAGCAACGTGGTGCTCCGGCCGCCGGCACTCCCCCGCCTGCTGCCACCGGTGCTGGAGGGCCCGCTGCCCCCGCTGGTGTTGATGAGCCCTTCAATATGTTTGAGGCTGCTGCTCAAGCCGGTGATGGTGGAGCTCGAGGTGGAGCTCGTTCTGGCGCAGCGGCCGGTGGCGAGGCACTCTCCAACCTGGACTTCCTGCGTAACAACCCTCATTTCCAGCAACTCCGCCAGCTGGTGCAACAACAGCCGCAGATGCTGGAGCCGATTCTGCAACAAGTTGCTGCCGGTAACCCCCAGATCGCCCAGATCATCGGCCAAAATCAGGAGCAGTTTTTGCAATTGCTCAGCGAGGACATCGATGACGATTCCCTGCTCCCGCCTGGTACTCAGGCCATCAGTGTTACGGAGGAAGAACGGGATGCGATTGAACGGGTACGTAATTGTTTGTCATGTATGTTCTCCGCGTAACTGACTGGCCTTCCTAGCTCTGCCGCCTTGGCTTCCCTCGTGACTCGGTCATTCAGGCCTACTTCGCGTGCGACAAGAACGAGGAGCTTGCAGCCAACTTTCTGTTCGAACAGCCGGATGAAAATGACGAACAGTGATTGGAAAGGAGATGTCATTCCACGTTCACAATCGATTATGATTGGTAGTTCAATTGGTGGAAACTCATGATGTATTGCTGTGGCACAGCTTTTTTCAAATTGATGAATGAAGATATCCTCATAGTTGCAACCTTTCCCTGCTTGTGCTTTTTTTCTCTCTTCAAAACGATCTTATTTCTGTGTATCGATTTATTGCGGTTTGTTCAACTGTTCTATCTCATCTATACACTTAGCAGAGCTTCCAACTCAATTACAGCTTTTGAATACGTAATCGACATATCTATAACTATAAAAGTAACCATTATATACCCAAGTAACCTGAAATCTACATCCGAAGATATCCATGTTTGTGCTAATCACACCCCGATCTCTGCACAGCCCAAACGTCTAGTCCGCGTCTTCCGACCACCCTGGTGATGGTGGCGATGACCCCATCAGATCCAAAGTCCAGGTCGTCCAGATTGATGTGATTCCTATATGACCATACAGCATCCAGTTCAAAGGGCGCTGCTGGGGTTCCTCCAGAATCCAAGTCAGAGGGCGAGGAGGCAGTATACAGATCGAGGAAGGTATTTGAGTGTGGAGCAACCAGAAACACCAACTGCGTAGGAGGAGTGACAGAGCCCTCTGCTGTACAGGCTGGGACGGCCTTGTCCAGCTCCTGGATCATCTCCGCGCCGGAGATCCCCATGAGATCTCGGGTTTGAATGTCCAGAGGCAATGGGTATTGGTTATCTCCGAGTAACCAGAGAGGAGGGGAATAGGTCTTCCACCAAAACACCGTCGCTGTCACCGCTGTGTCGGCTGGTAACTGAGTTTGAAGACTTGTCGCTCTGGCGGCGACGACGGAAGGCATGGCGAGCTGTGTGGGCACAACGCCGCCTTGGTGGTACACGCCCATGAGGAAACCGAAAGCGGCGTTAAACACCACCCAAGAAATAAGCACGATGCGGGATCGGCGGATGCGGATGCAGCTCAGGAAAAGGGGCACGCAGGGAATCAAGAACCGGGGCTCTTGATGCGGGAATATAGACAGCATGGCAGTCGCGGAGACGGCGGAAACAAACCCTATGTTCCGCAGCCACGACGTAAGGTTCGATCGACTGAAAAGCGCCAGAACAATCAAGACATATGCCGGCCCGAGGAGTTGGGGGAGGTTGGCAAGAACATGCTGGTAGCGAGGGTGGATGCCGTGAAGGGCCAGATTAGAAGTATTAGAGTTATACAGAAGGTTGTTCAGGGGGGTGATGATTGGTGCACGAAACACCTCCGCCAACGAGGCCGACGGGTTGTAGAAGGTGGTGTCGACTAGGACAGCGATGGAAGCGAAAACAATTCCAAAACCAACGAATGAAAAGAAGGACACTGGCCTAGTGTTGCGTCAGTCAATGGGGTTTATCTAAAGATAAAGAGTAACCAAATTATCAAACGAGTACTTACCTGCGCCAGAAATGAGGAAGCAGCTGCAAGCCAGGGACCAAAAGAAAGGCCGGAAATGTGATGCGGTTAAAGACACCGGTGACGGCAACAAATGACAGTACGCCAGAGGCGAAGAAGGAAGAGTGTCGCTGCGAGCAGACACGGTTAGCCGAACGAGACGGGTTCATCTCATTATGAGAGGGTCATGCACACCTCGCTCTCAACAATCCGTTGGATGAGCACCAGACCCCAGAGCACAAGAAGGGTCTCGAGCGAGTTGGAGAAGGTGTGTGTCTGGTATGTCCATGTGACATATGACGAGGCGACCAAAACGACGGTCTCCAGACGATGGCGCAGCGTCGGAACCAGCTCATAGATCGCCCAGTCCTCTAGCACAAAGCTCAGCAGGAAGAAGGCCCCGCGCAAGGCATAATACACGAGTTCTGGCGGGGGGGTCTCTGTGCCAGCTTCGGCGTAAAACCATTTCAGCAGGCTCATCGGTACCACGTAGGGAGCCCATAGCGGAAACACACTGCGGATGGGATGGTCGGAGGTGAATTCCCAGGTCAGATTAGACTGGTACGAGTAAATCCAGCCTGCGGGTTATTATCGGATTGATCAGCTTGAATGCGTGATGCGAGATGCCAACATTCTCGACTAGATAGGCGAGGAACGCCGTGCGGATGGAAACCGACGCGGGATCTTCATGATCCAAGGGCACGAACGTACCTGCAAAGACCTCTGGTCCTTGAAAATGTTCATCCGGATGAATATAGCTTGGACAGAGAGCGAAATAAACACGAATCAGTAATAGCAGCAGGTAGGTTCGTCTCCACATTTCTCAGGTTACAGTACGACACAACAGGCACATGCTGCACTGGAAAGATCGTCAAAGGAAAGGAACGAGGTATCCAAACATCAGCTGCAGCTGGTCAGGATGCAGAAAAAGGAGCGACAGGATGTTCGTGTGCGGAGTGTGTTGCAGGGAAAGCGAAGGGCCGGCTCGATAGTAATCCAGCTTAGACCTGCGAGACGCGTCTGCGATGATATCACCTCAGCCCACCCGTTAGCGGACCGGTCCCCTAGTTATCGATAGGCGTCAGGATTTATTATATAGTAATAGATTAGTTGGTTGGTTTAAAAATCAGGGGAGGACTTGGTTGCAAGACCCTTTTTACTCTATATTCGGATTCTTTGTTTGTAAATGGCTCTGGGTTGAGTTTCTCCTTTATTCTCTTACTGTCTATTGTCATACTATGTAGTATATGTAGGTACGCAGAGAGTGCCTCTTTATAAATCCTAGGCAGCGTAAAGCTATTATAAGGTCTCTAGGATGTTGCCTGATAAGTAGACATAATATAAAGAGGTAGTATGTCATTTATAGTCATTTATACTACCATAGTTTAGGATCAAGTCATGTAGCTGATGTAATTAATATATATTTTCTCAGAATCAGCTTATCAAAAGGACAGAAAATAAGGATAAATAAGAATAAATTATATTCCTATAATAAATACCTCCTAGAATAAGCCTATAAAGAAGTCTACTATAACAGTGAATGTTCCTTCTTGATTAATGAATAGATCTTATTGTCATGCCTGTCAGGGCATAATAACAGGCAGCTGCTGCGGGGCCGACCCAAAGAGGCTCCAACAATTACTCTCACTTGCGGGCTCCAACACGACGTACTCCAACCCTCTGTTATATTTGATCTTCCATCCACCTCTTTCTGACCACTTCCAACCCACAAAGGCTACAGGCAGGTGTGTACACAAAAATCCGGATACCTGTTTTTTCAAGGCGATTCCTTTTATCTGAGCTCGTCTGACTGATCAGTCTAAAGCCGGCCCTCTTGACCCCTCGCTACACAAAGCGCGTACGTCCAACCCCGAGTTGAAGCCGAGACATTCGTCCTCTACTGGCTCAGAGACTCATCCAGATCATAGATTGCACAAAGGAAAGAGACTGCAGACCCGCCACCATGTCTAGCGGCACGCCTTCCTCCACGATCACTCTCACCAGCTCCGACGGTGTCGACGTCACAGTCGGTACGTTTACTGCTCTTCCTGATCCGCAAGCGACACAGACGATAAATACGAGGAGTGGGTGGCTGTATTGACAAAATTTTGCATTATAGAGCGCCAGGTTGCTGAACGCTCGGTTCTCATTAAGAATATGCTGGAGGATTTGGGTGACTCGGGAGAGGCTATCCCTGTCCCCAACGTATGTCACTAGAACTCCAAGGGAGGATGGAATGTTTTCCACTGACCGTTACTAGGTCAACGAGGCTGTTTTAAAGAAGGTTATCGAGTGGTGCACCCACCACAAGCTTGACCCCCCTAGCGCTGGTGACGACGATGACTCGCGCCGCAAGACCACGGATATCGACGAGTGGGATCAGAAGTTCATGCAGGTAGACCAAGAAATGCTTTTCGAGATCATCCTGGTACGTGCTTGAATACATGGTTCTGAGGTGAAGTGTCGCGTGCTAACTAGCTCTTCCAGGCAGCCAACTACCTCGATATCAAGGCCCTCCTCGATGTCGGCTGCAAAACCGTTGCCAATATGATCAAGGGCAAGTCGCCAGAGGAGATTCGGAAGACATTCAACATCCAGAACGACTTTACCCCTGAGGAGGAGGACCAGATTCGTCGCGAGAACGAGTGGGCCGAAGAGTACGTGTTGATGAACTATTCCCTTATTGCCTAATTGTACTAATTTTTCTCTCACCGTGATAGTCGCTGATTCGGACCGTACGGCCGCTCTACTGCCCAGCATTATGTCGGCTATCTGCCATTGGAATGGGCAGCGGTTAGGGTTGATCCCTTTTCCTTTTCTAATGACGATTTGACTAGAGATCCTTCGGATCCAAGTCCCTCAGTATCATGGCGTTAGGCTTTGCTTCAGCACATTTTCTATACTTGCTCGCTTTGACGTTGAGAAAACTATTCCCGGTGTGTCTTGCTTGTTCACCTCTCTTCTCCCGTAGCTCAAACTTCGGAATATACTCTGCCTACTGCGGATCTTCGAATAGAATGAACATCTGCCCTACGACTGCAAGCTAAGACACTGTTGCAAGAACCAGACAAGAACAAGAAATACAAAGGGGTCGTCTACTTTTCGATTCGGAGGATTTTGCATAATTTCCATTTTTCCCTCCCATATGCCCGCCTATGCGAAAGTACAAGTTAACCCGTATCCATAGATAATCCTGAACTGCCTTCCCCCCCCGCGCATAATGTCTTTCAAGCCATCTCACATCATGGTAAAAAAAAAGTGCACGCCTGAAACTGGAACCCGTGGCGGAGAACAAGACGAGAACCGGGCTGAATTTCCCCCCTCCCCCCCCCTCCCGTGTATAAAATGTCATCGTCGGCACATGTAGGTCTAGTATTGTCTGACGACTGGGCACGGAGACACTCAAGGATGAATTTTTTCATATTTCCATTTTTGGATTTTTTCGATCGGACATAAGCTAGCTAACCGGGTAGACGGCGCCAGAAGAAAAAAAAAAAAAAAAGAGGATATGGTGAGGGAGTTTTTTCTTTTTTCCTTCTCTCAGCAACGAACAATCATGGCGGGGAGTTCAACACCGAACAAGAGCGCCGAAAAAGTATAGACGACCATCCAGGCGGGAGAACAGGAGTAGCAAATGTCGAGTTTAGATGCCGAGGCGGGTCTTGCGCCAGTGCCTCCGCTTGGCGTTGTATCTGTAGTGATTTCCACGAGTTAGCCTGATATTTATTCTTGGAGTTTTGGGTCTGAAGGGCGTAGGCAGTTGCCATAGTGCATGGTGCATCCCGGAATCGAGGACGGGGGGAAGGTTTCATCTTGTCTCTCTCTCTGCCTCTGGTGCAGACGGCTTTGTGTGCTTTTGAAGGGTTTCTCTCTCGAGGAATATTTACCTGATGGTGTTGCCGGTGCGGAGACGAATCCACTGGGGGATGGGACGGTTCTGCTTCTGAGCTTTGGCAAGCTTCTGCTTGGTGCGGAAACTCTTGTGGCTCTATAGAGAGAGAGAGAGAGAAAAAAATTCCAAAGGTTAGCCAGCCCGGACGACACAGATATGCATAGCGACACGAGATAATCTCCGCTGGAGGCGGAAATGTTGCAGAGGACGATAGTGCTTATGGAAATTGAAAGGGAGGATTGCTAACCGGCATCTTGATGACTTGTCGCGACGGCGAGCTGAGGTATGGACAGGCGGTGGTGGTGTTGTCAACGTCGACCGTCTAGAGACCCTTCCCTTTGGGTGCGGTGGTTTGTGTGCGGACAGGGTTTAGTGCTTCGCTTCGGCATGGTCATGTGACTTGCTCTTTTTTCTTTGGCCTAAGGCACACATATTGTTTATGCCTTAGGCATGAAGAGTCACGACGTGGGAAGACGCTAATCTTTTTACGGCTAGTCATGAGTGTGCTTACATAGTAAGGTACTTGTGTTCCCGTACTCCGTACTCCGTAAGCTGTACAGATGGAACTGACTGTCGTCTCAACATCACACTTGATATATTGCATACTTGGAGGTGTTTCATCGGCTGATAGTTCAATCAACAAGCTAGCACTTTCAATATCTCAAGAGAATACCTAAAATAGTTAGACTGTTTGATTTCCTGTTCATCTCAGTCCGAGCACGACCTTGCCGACGACGCTAGTCCTAAACCTTAGCCGAGCATAACTGCAATAATAATACAGCCCGACCGGATGGAACTTGGAATGTTCCCGTTCGTCTCCTTTGGTACCAAAGAAGGGGCAGAGTCCGGAGCACCTAAGTTCCGCACGGAGGTTACAGCCCTAGATGACGTTGAAATAACTACCGTGACTCCTGGTAAATAATAGAGCTATAAGTTCCGAGTCATTAGGGTTCCTACCATGAATATAGGCTGCACACCTCTTGTAATCGATGATTTATAGTGTGTATGTAGTAGTAATGAATTTGCTGACCCGTCTAGGTATACTATCAGGTATACTATAGTTACTAACTAACTAACTAGTTATAGTTCAACTATAGTAACTATAGTATACCTAGGTAATGTTATAATCTCCGGAGTAGTTATCGGGTATAAAATCATTACTAAGCAGTATGCATACTCCGTACAAACTGCCCCCATGTCTGAGCGCTAACTACCTTGAGTAATCATAGCGACTGACGGGAGTCATAAACCAAGCATTAGTGGCGACGGAATGGTGCTGAGATGACGAATCAGAGAACAGCAAATATGAATCTCCAGAAGTTGCCTCCATCAATCTGACCAGGCTTCTAAACTAAGGACTAAATAGGCATCTCTTGGTCTCTGCAAGAACCTTGGTACACAGCCACTTTCTCGCTCTCGTATATTCCCCGTTCTCCATTCTGAATGTATGCATAATTAATACAAGGCAGCAGTTTGACTCTGTAAGAAAAGCTTTTCTCCATTGGCAGACAGTCCTGAGTAGACCGTCTTGACTCGTGCCTCGGATACTTTATAAGAGTATAGGGTTGCACTGCAGAAGGCACACTTCATAGATTAATATTTAAAGTAAGGAGGCACGCTCACGATGGACAGGGTATGTCCTAGAAATCTAAGATCCCAGGCACGGACTACATAAGAGGTAACTAGTAAGGTACCTTAGGTAGGTACTACCTTAGTACTACGGAAGGTACCTAGGGTGAGATGGACTGCGTAATTTAATATGAGCTGGCCACCTAAGGAGATTACATTAATACATGCAGTAAGCAATTAAATAACTTGGAGGTACCTTAATTATCTAAGAGGAAGGAGCTCTTATGGATGTTGCATAAAAACGCCCTCGGATGGAATAGCTCCGGACAGGTTCCAATCGATAACAACTTCTATAAAAGGGATTTCGATAGAAAAGCCTCTTCTTCGCTGCTATTCTAGCCCACTCTTACTTTCGTTTCTCCTTTTCCTGTCTCTTTAATTCCCTTCCTCCCCTCTCCATCCTTGTTTTCCGATTAATCGCTGGGAAATCGGTATTTTTCCCCCTCCTTGCTGGAAGAAGGAGTGTCCTCGGAGCTTAGGACCTACCCTACTAAATTCCGGTGCATCGATAGCGGGGGCAACACTGATTGCGCCGCTGCCCCTTACTATTTATTACCCATAACAATTCTAATACCATATATAATTCTTCTTGACCGTTCCCCTCGCGAAGTCGATTGGAAATCCTCTGATGGAGTAAAGCTCCACACGGAGTGCGAATATCTGGTGTACCTTTACAGGAACGACTCGGGCTTGCGAGGCGAGACTATCTACTAGTCACTCGAATCCGATATGACGGCCGGCGAAGAGGCGAAAACACCCATGGCTGCTGAGCCCAAGGACGAGCAGCAGGCGCCAGTTGCTGAGAATGAGATGGTTCTGGAGGAGCCCTCTGAGAGGAACTCCATCTCAGGCACGACCGTGACCGCGGGATGGAATCGGGCAAGGGAGACCGCTGCGAGTACGCCCGGCGGACAGGCCACCGTTTCAGAGTCATCTGGTGATGAGGATGCCATTTATGCTCATCTTCCGCCGAGCGAGAAGGAGATCCTTAAGAAGCAGCTTGACATCCCCTCAGTCAAGGTGTCTTTCTCCGGCCTCTATCGCTACGCGTCCCGAACCGACTTGACCATCATTTCTGTCAGCGCAATCTGCTCCATTGCGGCTGGCGCAGCGTTGCCATTGTTTACTGTTAGTATTTCGTTGTTTTTTCTTTTTTTTTTTTTCTTTCTACAACAAGATCAAGTTTTGCGAAATGCTGACCGTCTTCATCTCCTAGATCCTCTTCGGTAATTTGGCTTCTGCCTTTCAAGGGATTGTTCTGGGAACTATCCCTTATAATGAGTTCGAGCACAAGTTGACGCACAATGTTTTGTATTTTATATATCTTGGCATCGCGGAATTTGTGACGGTGTATATCAGCATGGTAGGCTTCATCTACACGGGCGAACACGTCACGCAGAAAATCCGCGAGCACTATTTGCAGGCCACCTTGAGACAGAACATCGCCTACTTTGACAAGCTAGGCGCCGGCGAGATCACCACCCGAATCACGGCCGATACAAATCTCATCCAGGATGGTATCTCTGAAAAGGTCGGCCTGACGTTGACTGCTGTTGCTACCTTCATCACCGCCTTCATCGTCGCTTACGTCAAGTACTGGAAACTGGCCCTCATCTGTTCCTCGACCATCGTCGCACTGATCACCATCATGGCTGGCTGCTCGCGATTCATTGTCAAGTTCAGCAAGCAGTCTCTGGTCAGCTACGGCGCCGGGGGAACTGTCGCAGAGGAGGTCATTAGTTCGATCCGGAATGCAACCGCTTTTGGGACTCAGGACAAATTGGCTCGGCAGTTCGAGACGCACCTGGCAGAGGCAGAGAAATGGGGCACAAAACTACAGATTATTCTTGGCATGATGATCGGATCAATGTTCGGCATCATGTTCTTGAACTACGGCCTTGGATTTTGGATGGGCTCACGGTTTTTGGTAGATGGCGAGGTCAATGTCGGTGATATCCTGACGGTCCTGATGTCTATCCTGATCGGCTCCTTCAGCCTGGGCAACGTCAGCCCGAACGCCCAGGCATTTACCAATTCGTTGGCCGCAGCGGTCAAGATCTACGGCACCATCGATCGTGCCTCGCCCCTGGACCCGACCTCGGACGAAGGAGTGAAGCTCGACCATATCGACGGTACCATCGAGCTCCAGGCCATCAAACACATCTATCCTTCGCGACCTGAAGTTACTGTGATGGACAACGTCTCCCTGATGATCCCTGCGGGAAAGACCACCGCCTTGGTTGGACCTTCTGGATCGGGAAAGAGTACGATTGTTGGGCTTGTCGAGCGTTTCTACACCCCTGTGAGCGGGTCTGTCCTACTTGACGGTCACGACATCCAGGGACTGAACCTCCGTTGGTTGCGCCAGCAAATCTCTTTGGTCAGCCAAGAGCCTGTTCTTTTCGGCACGACTATCTTTGAGAACATTCGTCATGGTTTGATCGGCACCCAGTATGAGAACAGCTCGGGAGAAATTGTCAAAGAGCTGATCGAGAACGCTGCGAAGATGGCAAATGCCCATGATTTCATCACCAGTCTGCCCGACGGGTACGAGACCAATGTAGGCCAGCGAGGCTTTCTACTCTCCGGTGGCCAGAAACAGCGGATTGCCATTGCACGCGCAGTGGTCAGTGATCCCAAGATTCTCCTCCTTGACGAAGCCACCTCTGCATTGGACACCAAGTCCGAGGAAGTCGTGCAAGCCGCTCTGGACAAGGCCGCGGAAGGTCGCACCACCATCGTCATTGCTCATCGTTTGTCTACCATCAAATCCGCTCACAATATCGTGGTCCTTGTCGAGGGTCGGATTACAGAGCAGGGCACGCATGACGAGCTGGTGGACAACAAGGGTACATACTTCAAACTCGTCGAGGCGCAGCGCATCAACGAAGTGAAGGAATCCGAAGATCTGGAGGTGGATGAGTCCGAGAGCGAAGATGACACCGGGTTGACCAAGGAGCAGCTTGCACGGATTCGATCCACCGGCAGCGGCCCCCAATCTGCGGAACTGGCTGATGAGAAGCTGGTGGAGGACAACCTGGTTCGACGGACGGACACTAAAAAGTCGGTCTCGAGTGTCGTTCTCGCTAAGAAAGGCCCCGAGGCTCTTCGGAAATACTCTCTCTGGACTCTCATCAAGTTCATTGCCTCGTTCAATCGCCCAGAACTCCCGTTCATGCTGGTCGGTTTGTTCTTCTCAATCCTTGCTGGCGGCGGCCAGCCCACCCAGGCTGTGCTCTATGCCAAGGCGATTACCGCACTGTCCCTGCCCGCGACCGAGTACGCGAAGCTTAGACACGATGCAAACTTCTGGTCTCTCATGTTCCTCGTCGTGGGAATCGTGCAGTTCTTCAATTTCGCCATCCACGGCACTGCCTTTGCCCTGAGCTCGGAGCGTCTGATTCGCCGCGCCAGAAGCCAGGCCTTCCGATCCATGTTGCGTCAAGATATCTCCTTCTTCGACCGAGAGGAAAACAGCACCGGTGCCCTGACATCTTTTCTTTCCACCGAAACGAAGCATCTGTCTGGCGTCAGTGGAGCCACCCTTGGAACGATCCTCATGACCAGTACCACACTAGGTGCTGCTTTGATCATCTCTCTATCCATTGGCTGGAAGCTGGCTCTGGTCTGCACTTCTGTGGTCCCGGTTCTACTCGCCTGTGGTTTCTTCCGATTCTGGATGCTTGCTCAATTCCAAGGCCGGTCCAAGGCTGCGTACGAGGCGTCTGCCAGCTATGCCTGCGAGGCCACCTCGGCGATTCGGACAGTAGCCTCCCTCACCCGGGAGCACGATGTCTGGGAAGCTTACCACATCCAGCTGGCAGGGCAACAGAGAAAGAGTTTGGTCTCGGTTATCAAATCATCGCTGCTCTATGCCGCTTCGCAGGCTCTGGTTTTCTTCTGCATTGCGCTTGGGTTCTGGTACGGCGGAACGCTTTTGGGTCGTCATGAGTATTCCATTTTCCGATTCTTTGTGTGTTTCAGTGAGATCATTTTCGGTGCGCAATCTGCCGGCACCGTCTTCTCATTCTCCCCGGATATGGGTAAGGCAAAGAATGCCGCGGCTGAATTCAAGAAGCTGTTCGATCGGAAGCCCACCATCGACACGTGGTCCGAGGATGGTGAAGTTCTTGAATCCATCGACGGTGCACTTGAATTCAGAGATGTGCATTTTCGATACCCGACCCGACCGGAGCAGCCTGTATTGCGTGGCCTCAACTTGACCGTCAAACCTGGGCAGTATATCGCTCTCGTCGGCCCAAGTGGATGTGGCAAGAGTACCACCATTGCTCTCCTGGAGCGATTCTACGATGCTCTTTCTGGCGGCGTGTTTGTGGATGGAAAGGACATCACGCGGCTTAATGTGAACTCCTACCGCAGTTATCTGGCACTTGTCAGCCAAGAGCCGACTCTGTATCAGGGTACTATCAAGGACAACATCTTGCTGGGAGTCCAGGCCGATGACGTTCCTGAAGAGGCAATCATCAAGGCGTGCAAGGACGCCAACATCTACGATTTCATCATGTCTTTACCGTACGTTCCGTCCCCCTTCCCCCGGTACTTTATATCTGTTTTCCATCTTCTTTCTAATCATCCTTCTAGTGAGGGATTCAACACCGTTGTCGGTAGCAAGGGTGGCATGCTTTCTGGTGGACAAAAGCAGCGAGTGGCGATTGCTCGTGCCCTTCTCCGTGATCCCAAGGTTCTCCTTCTGGACGAGGCCACCTCTGCCCTGGATTCTGAATCGGAGAAGGTGGTCCAGGCAGCCCTGGACGCGGCTGCCCGCGGCCGGACGACGATTGCCGTGGCACACCGGTTGAGTACCATCCAAAAGGCCGACATTATCTACGTTTTCGACCAAGGCAAGATCGTCGAGAGCGGAACCCACCATGAGCTGTTGCGCAACAAGGGCCGTTATTACGAGCTGGTCAACCTTCAGAGCCTTGGCAAGACTCACTAAAAAAAAAAAAAACAAGGAAACGAACTCTCTTCTCATTCCTGTACTTTCGGGGTTGTTTTTTGCATCTCCCCTCTCCAAAACTACAGCCTTTGAATAAATGTGTGTGTGTGTGTGTATATATATATATATGTATACGGTGGTCTATTGGTTTTTTTGATCATCCGACACATCTCCACTGCTAACGACATAGATTCCTGCATTTCCGGTCAGATACATGTGAATGCCTTTGTTTGTGATATACCCCCCAGCAGTCGTGCTCGATGCTAGTGCCGAGTACAATAATACTATTCTATTAATTGACAATGCTATTCCTTGACTCGAGTGACCATTTTTCAACGCCCGCATTTGATCTAGACACCCTTCTTTAAGACGAAACTGTCCATCAATCATCATTACCGACGCCGAACTCTTTCTGCACGTCTATCTGGCGGACCCCACGCGCATCTGCAATCAGTCCCATCAAGCCCTGTCCGATATCCTTGATGTCGTTGTAGTCATGGAGAAGACGGATATGCCGCTGAACCGTAGCTACGGGGTCATTCCTGGATATTATTCGAGATTAGTTAAATGCGTCCAGGTGTGCTTGCTTGACATCAATTCTTCCACCGAGTGGGGATTCAGGCTAAGCTAAGCAAGCGTCTTACCTCAGTCGCGCCTTTGTGGATTCGAGCTGGGCCTCAAGTTGGGCTGTTTGAGATTCCAAGTCGGCGATCGAGGAACGGAGGACGGTCTATCGATTATTGATGTGTTAGCTGTCTTTGTTCTCTGATGTTTCTATCGCTGACTGACGATCTTCTTCTCTCTTTCAAAGCTTTGTTCGGGGGACGTCTTTGACGTGGTAGATGATATTTGATCGTTCTGCGTCGACATCGTGTCTGACTGAGTACTGTCCATAGAGGTAAGTTTACTATACAGTTAACAAAGTAGGTAGTTGTGATTATGCACCAGCATAATTACTAGTGGTAATTTGGATACAGTACATATCGTAACGACAATACGATATCAAAGCCCGGGAGATTATGTCCGACCAATGATAATGCCTGCTTACTTAACCACCCTCAATGCGGGTTTAGGTGGTGTCTTGTTGTTTGATGCTGCCTCGTCTTTCTTCCCTTGCGTCCAGCGTTAACGTTTTTTTAACTCGTAGCATGACTGCGATCGAGGGGCCAGCTCGAGCCTTCCCGTGATTATTGACGCCCTGCCGGCCGCTGTTTTTTCCCTCTCTCTTACCTGCCTGCAAGAAGATAAGAGCAAAGAAAGAGAAGTCCGGCTGTTCCGCTCGGCCTTGCCCATCTTCTTCCAAAACCGCCACGAACACGAACCACGCCTATCTCTTTGTCTGTTCGCCGAACAAACGGTCGGGATCGATTATTCTTGATGGGGCGATTCGATCGTTGGGCGGTGCTCGCTGCACTGCTCTTTACTCGAGCTGCGCTTGCTCATGGAGACCATGAACATATCGCCGAGGGGGAGGCCACTTCGGAGGATCCGATTGTAAACGTCCCCCCCCCCCCCCCCAGTCCTCTTTGAAGAGGGGGAAAGGGAAAAAAAGAGGTCCGCTAATGGACGGTACAGGATACAATTCTCTGGCTGCATATGATCTTGATGGGGTTTGCCTTTGGCATTATCTTCCCGCTTGGAATGGTCCTTGGTGTAGGTGATGTTCCTTTTGGGATTGTCTGATTGCTGGCTGGTTTCCAGAGCGGCGCTGATCCGTCACTGTACTTATCTAGATCACCCGTTCTCGCTGGCATGTCCCTGTGCAAATCGTCGGAACCATCATCGCCGTGCTCGCGTACTTTCTCGGCCATGCGCACAAGGGCCGGCAGTTCGCCACGAACATCCATGCCTCCTTTGCAACCTCATTGATGCTCATGTTGGTGGTGCAGGTCGTGCTGGGAGTGTATCTCAAGCTGCACTTATCCAAGGGGATCCATGGGCGTATTCGCCGCTTCTTTGTCCTCGCACATAGCTTGGTCGGCAAGGTGATGCCCGTTGTCAGCTGGGTCCAGATGTTGTTCGGCGGGATTGCGGCGTTGGGGTTCTGCCGGGGAGACCATCTGGGACAATGTGCGGCCCATTTTATTATGGGCAGCGCCTTCATCGCCTACGGCATCCTGCTGACCGTTGTTCTGATGGTGGGCCAGTACTGGCTGCGACGGACAGGCCGCAGTCAGGAATTCTTCGACTCGCTGGTCATTGCCCTCTGGGGCTGCATCAACACCTTTACCGAACACCGCTGGGGTACCGACTGGGTGCATAACGATCTTGAGCACACCGCCATGGGCATCATCTGGTGGTGCGCCGGCCTTCTTGGAATCTGGATGAGTAGAAAGCGGAACGGCCGCCCTAAGAGGAACCTGATTCCTGGCATCGTCATCTTCTTCACTGGTTACGCCATGTCGTCCCATCCGCAGACTTTGATGATCAGCTCCATGGTCCACTCCGTCTTCGGATATACCCTGATGGCCGCAGGTGTCACCCGGATCATCGAGATCTCCTTCGTCCTGAAAGACCGAAGCACCCTTAGCCCGGACGGTTCGGACCCCAACAGCTTTCAATATCTGCCGCCATTTGTATGTCTTTGTGTCCCCGAAAGAGGAAAAAAAAATCCCATTTGCTTACACTCTTTAATAGCTTCTTTACGCTTCTGGCTTCCTCTTCATGGGTGCTACCGAGGAGCAGATGCAGTTACTAAATGACGCCGGTGTCTCACACGTGGCTTATGTGCTGATTCTCTACAGCATGGCATTTATTCTCTTCCTCTGTAAGTTGGTCCGCTCCTTCATGTTGTTGAATTACATGTGGATGCTAACAGAAATAACCACAGTCGTCCACATCCTCCTCCACATCTATGCGGCCCATGCCTGGCCCGAATCCATGAAAGTCAAGCCGAATCCTCAGGCTCGCAGTGCAACGGAGTCAGGCGCGGACCGCCCAAAAGCTCGTCGCGCGCCGTCTTCCGTTTCCTTTCTGAATACCAATGGCGGCCTGCTGAACGGTCATGCTCGCTCCGCCTCGGAGGCACAACAGGTCCAGGACGCGGAAGCTTTCGAACTACAAGGCCTCATTTCTGAAGATGACGAAGAGGAGGTGGAAACCCCCAAAGTTCCTCACCCGATGGGACCGCAGAAAGCCACCGATGAGGAAAATCCGCTCATCGGGAAAGACACATAGTTTAGGAGCGGTCTGTCTTTATTCCTCCCATCTTTTTTTGGATTATTATCGGTTTGGGATGCCCCGGGGGGATCCCCCCCCCCTTCTCTAATGATACTTCTTTCTCCCCCCCGTCAAAATAATATATGTTTTTATTTTTTTTTCTCCGCCCCTGGATGGCGTCTATCTGACTGAGACAGATGGCCTTCCCTCTCCTGGTTCTTTCATATATACCTAGTCACTTGGTTGTACATACATGCCTACACACTTCATCTGTTGCCCGGGATTCGGCAAAGAAATAAATAATGATTCTTTTCTGATTTCTCATTATCTTGATGTCTATATTGTATGGAACGTAGGTCATGGAGTATCTCGTAATTGCCTATCTCATATCTATCGTACATGGGTCATGAAAAATTTTGATGTTCCAAAATCATTCTGGAAAATGGTTAAAGAATAACCACAGCCGATTCCTCTAGAGGAATCGGGTTTGCCACGGGCGCCACCGCAGCAAGCACATTGCCCACCTCCGGCGGGAAAAAGGGGTGGAGCGGATAGATAGGCGCGACGGATTTCTCGCCGTCGAACAGCAGGAGATTCTGGAGGGGTTGTTCTCTGGCACTCAGAACGTTGATCACGTCCTGGGCAAGACTCCCGCCTACAAAGGCGGCGACAGGGCTCAACTCGCAGCGCAGGTTGTCTAGGAATTTTAGAAGCGCCTCGGACGTTAGAGTGCTGATATCGAGCTTCAACTCTTGCAATGCGTTAGTGGCCAGCTCGATGAAGGAGGCACGGTCCTGTGCGTTGCTTTCAGAAGGGAGGCGGCCACCCGAGATTTTCTCAAATTCCCACAGACCACGAAGACACGAGAGGAGGGGTGTAACCTGGCGGCGTTTGCGAGGCAGGCGTGTGAAATCTTCGGGGAGAGGCGACGTGTTGGCGAGCAGAAGGGGTGTGTAGACCTCCCGTTTTGTGACCATTTCGATCACCTTATTGTTCTCCTTCTTGGTCGTGATCTGGACGATACTCCGCGTTGGGGTTTCTTGGTACGGGGAAGCAACATTTGGCTTGGACCGCTCGATGACAAAGTCGTGGGATATCAGATCTGAAAAGACATAGCCGTAGAACCCATGGAGACCGGCGGCATAGAATCGACGATTAGCAATGCGACACGCAGCATTGATCGTCGTGTAGAGAGTGAAATCCAGCTCGGTAGCGATGGTCACGTCGAACTTGGCGAAGAACTCAGGTGGTTTCGAGCGCACGTTGTCTGTATCAATATGTAGCCGCACTCGTGGGTTCATAGCGCGTATTTGGGGACCTGCCGCTTGGGCTCGCTGGTAAAAAGAGTCAGATTTCCTGTATACAGAAAACATTTCCCACGGATGGCACGACGCACGTTCTGGCCGATGTTCTCTTGCGAGACGAAAAATTGAGCGCCCAAATCCTCCTCGGTGACAGGCTCATGGTCAATAATGGTCAGAGAGCCGATACCTGCCAACACGAGATTCTTGGCTACCTCATTTGCGAGCGCTTTGACGGTAATGAGTAGGATGTTTGCCGAGCGAAGTCTAAGAGAAGAGAGTAACCCCAGGTTAGCCTCTATCATCGTTTTCTTTCCTCCAGAGACTTGTATTTTACTTTTCTTGTGCCTTCACTCCCCAGAGTCTGATCTGACGGTCATATAGAGCAATCTCATCTATACCGAGGTTGGCATTAGGAACATTGGAATAGGTATCAAGTCGACCTCAGAAGCTCTCACCAGCGCTGATGGACTGATTGGAAGTGTTTATTGAATCCATGGCTCCCGTCAATTCAATGATGGGTCAGGTTAGAGACTCAGTCTGAGTCGACAGCTGAACGATTGGAGGGGTTCCTTCCCAGTTGAGGGGAAATCCAAGATGGAGATAGCAGACCCGAGATGGAAGAACGGAAGAAAAAAAAACCCCAGATACAAATCATATAACCAGAACGAGGTCTCTGCACAGAGAGAGAGAGAGAGAGATGATCTGAGAAGAAAGAACACTGCAGGAAGGAGAACAAACAGCTTCGTTTCAAATCTAGCGGAGCTCTCCCCAGGATCACGTGTACAACGCCCAGCGAGTCAGCGACCACCAGGCCCGAACTGGCGCCGCCCGGGACCCAAGCTTTTTTGGGTTATCGTTGTGCCCCATCAGCCTAATCATCATCCACGTCTGTGTTCCATCAGTCTCACCATCGTCTTCCCCTGGGCTGCGCCTTGGTCTGTTTTCTGCTCGTTCTTGGATTTTTGGCTGCAGTGACGGTCTGCAGTTGTTTCGATGATCCAGCTCATCGATACCTCATGGTTCTTACGTGTTTCTTACTGCCCTATACTCGCCGCCCCCGCCTTGCGTAATTTAATCTCTCGTCACTATATTATTGCATCCAAATAATGGTATGTGATCGGTCTTCCAGCTTTTTCATCTAGAAGCTTGGTGCGTCTGGGTGCTTCCGAGTGGCGTCTTTTCATCTGCTTGCTCTGTTCAGGGAATGGACTGACGATTTCTTTTTGTATTTCCTAGTCAGGAAACTACGACTATCCACCCGCCTCTCGACGCTCTTCTCGTTCCAACAATAATGCGGCCAGATTACAACATCTTCGGGCTCTCTTAACTTCTGAACGGAACCTGGATAATCATAGCACAGCCCGTGCATGGGAGACACTCAATCGAGAGCTTGAAGAGCACCGCGCTGATCGAGACCGGTCCACTTTTGAGCAGGCCAGAGCGGTAGTGGATCGACGGCTCCGGCAACTTCAAACAGATTTGGGCAATAGCGACCATCGGCCCCGCCGGCTGGCGTCGGGCCAGGAATATACAAGGCACCCTCCCGTAACGGTGAACTTGGCGAGCATGAACCAGGACACCACGTCCTCGGACTCAACCATTTCGAACACTAGGCCGTCGAGACGGCGTCCCATGAGGACAGGCGAACGGGCACAGAACTCCCAGCAATTTCCTCTGCAGGGCAGAGTTCGTGATTCCGGTTTGAATCACCTCCTCGACCAGCCGATTCCTCGCCTTGAGTCGTCAACGGTCTTGCCGCCAAGCATGGAAAGTGATCGGGACCTGAATCGTTGGAGAGCCAAGCGCCGAAAACTCGAATCAGATGACTCTAGAGAAGGCCTTCGGAGTTTCAACTATGGCCAATATGGGCAAGTGGTGTCGGGTCCCCTGAAGATGGAGATTGTCAGTTGTGATGGAGGTACTTATGAGCATGATGGTGAACGTTCCTGGCCGGAAAACGTTCTCCGCAACGACTCTGCTGTCTACTGTACAAAATCTGATCGATGCAATCTCGTTTTACGGCATCGCGGGGAGGCCCCATTCTGCCTCCGCAAACTCATCATCAAGGCTCCCAAGACCGGGTTCGATGCTCCGTAAGAATCATATTCCCCTGCCTAGCACTGGCTTTTTTGGGGTGTTTCAGCCATCCAACACTGACTCGTTGCGTAGGATTCAAGAAGGAATGATTTTTGTTTCCATGTCATCTGACGAACTCTTGGCTCGCACGGCACAATATCAGATCCAATACTCGGCTACTGCTCGAAGCCGTCGCCGAAACCGAAGAACGAACATATCTCCATCTCAAGAGTACATGAGTGGTTTCCGGCCACCTCTACAATCATTGGAGCGGACGATTCTGGCAGGTCCCGGTCTTCATTCGGATTCGGAGAACGATTCCCCCGCCGTTTCAGGCCTCCATACCTCGGACACCTCCGGTCAAATCGCGGATTTCCAAGTAACCACTGAATACGATAATCATTCAGATGCAGGCGAAAATGATACTCTGGAGGATGCTGAGGATGATAACCATTCAATTGCCCAACTCGATAGAATCCAGCTGGAGCAGCTAGAGGATGATCTGCTCTGCCCGGAGAGCGACGAGAGCACTAGCGAGGACGATGAAGCGCGTGCTGAACGAAATCACCAACGGTTCACACTAGGCAGGCGTTTGATAGCTGCTGGCCACCTTGACAGCTTGATTGATATTGACCCTATTCCCCGACGACGCCAGATTCCCAGTCTGATTGAGCCCCTCAGTTCTGTAGGACAGCCAGTAGAGATGTCTATGGACTCAACAGAGGTCCTAAAGCCCCATGCCCGGTTTTTTATCAAGCGGGAGAAGAGCATGGTCAGCATCAAATTTGACCCTCCTCCGTAGGTGTCACACCTCCTTTGCATCGATTGAGCTCAGCAGGAACTAATCATCTATTCATCACAGCTCCGGAAGGTTCATTTTGATCAAATTATGGAGCCCTCATAGTGGAGGTAACATTGATATCCAAAGTATCATAGCGCATGGCTTTGCTGGACCACGTTTCTTTCCTGCCACTTCTGTCAGATAGCCAGAGACAGGCTAGCTTGATCTGATGAAAACCACGCAATTGGTATCAGCATGTGATTGATTAGGCTTTTGCCTTTTAAGTCTCTTTCTGTTCCCTCACTTTTTTCTGGTCTACATCTTTAAGCTTATCGAGCACTATGGATGGAGTATCGGCTGGATCGTCTTTGGAAGCGAGGTCCCTAGCAAGATTCTGGAAGTACACTCGGGTATCGCCACATCTTGATAACATATGCCTTAGTAGATATTTTAGAAACTGCTTGATCAATCTTTATGGGTCTTTCTTTTAAAATTTCAGAGCGTGACCCGGGTGGGAATTACAGAGTACATAATGGCAATCACTACTTTGTACAAGGACACTTGCAGCTGTCAGTTCTAAAATGAGAGAATAGACACGATGAACTCTACGGTTCCGTTTTCAATAGAATTTGGTTTGATTCAATTCTGAACTATTCATCGTGGAGACATATCATTTCATACATTCACTGCTTTTCGTGAGCCGCAGGGGGGGCCTCGCCTTGCTCCATACCACATCACAATCCAATTCCATCAGGCGCGGTCGGGGAAGATATCCAATGGACAGGACATTGGAGAATAGAAGAAAGAGGAAGCGGAAGAGAGAATTGGAGGGCACAACACATATTGAGCCAAGCACCCCTTAAGCCATTGCGGACGAGGTTATAAATAATAAGGGCCAAAAATGAAGAAGCAGATGAGTTCCAAGAGAAGACAGATTCCTCTCACAGACCGAGGGAAAGGAAATCTATAGTCGGCTTGGTTCGTGTAACAATACCAACGCCAACGCAGGGGCCAAAAAAATAACAGCAGAATGAGAAAGAAACATAGGAGAGTGAGAGAGAAAGAAAAAAAAGGGAGACGCAAAGCCTGGGCACCATGCTTGCAAAGTAGAGCAAAAGTATGGGGGAAGAAGCGTCTAGAGATATGGGGATAGATATTCCGTCCAAGCAGCCAGCTGAGTTCTAGACAAAGGCCGTTTGATATTCTTGTGAGATGGTGAGGTGCAGGTAGAGAGAGAGCCTATGAAGCCAGTCAAGAGACCTCCTTTGCCCACGTCTCCTTGTCCAATTGCATGTACACAGTACGTGATATGAGACCAAGAAGCAAGCCGGGCTTCGTATGACCGTTCGACCGAAATTTCCAGACGGCAGGATAGACAAGAGTCGCAGGTAGATGTCGGGTCCCAGAAATCAGTGCTCGTTATGTTCTCGTTGCTCATTTCAAAATCATCGAACGCCGAGGCCAGAGAAGACAAATACAAAAGAGAAGAGTACAACCAACTCTTTCAAAAAGAAAAAAAAAGTAGATTAGAGGACCAAGTCCAGCCAAAAAAAAAGGAACAAGGTAATTTCCTTGTTTCTTTGTGCCTTTGTCCATAATAAAAAGGGTTCAACTCAAAAGGCGTGGTTCAAAGGGTACGCCTAGATGACGACAACATCGCCTTCTGCATCTGCAGGATCTGAGGCCATCATATCGCCATACTTTCCAACAGCTATCAGCATGGAATCGTCGTCAAGATCAATCGCACTATCATCATGATTGGGGGCCTGGAGACTCGTAACACAGTCTGTGCCATTCACAGACTTCTCATTTGAGGACATGAGATGATCTGTATGCCTGTCTAGGTGTGTTGTGTCTGGTTCTCGATTTTGGTCGAGGCTAGCTCCAGTGGTGGAACTCATGCTTGTCCTCTGGCGTGCGTCGGCCATCTGGGAATCAGTAGATATGCTCGAGCCGTCCTGAGGCATAGAGTTGATGGGTTGTTTCAACAGAAAACTGCCCATCACTGCCTGTTCCTGGCCGAAGCTCATGTTTTTAAGTGTGCTGGGCGTGTTCTTCATAAAGCCTCCCTTCTCGGCTTGCCAGACCATCATCTCATGGAAAAACACCTTGGTCATCCACCAGGCACTAAAACTCGGGGCACCGCCGAGCGTCAGGCGATGAAGAACAGCGTCCCATATAGCATCAATCTTCTCGATGATACACTGCGTGCGGTGATTGGGGAACATAAGCGGCAGGTTGAGGATGAACGATATCCACTTGTCCGGGAAATTGTACTCTTCACCTTCTGCCTCTTTGACGGGAAACCGACGTGCCTGCCTGTCTTCTTCTCGATCTGGGAGTTTGAAGAATGGCTGACAAAGTGAAGGGTTGCCATCTGTAACTGGCGTAAGAAGTGCCCAGACGTCGTGTTTAAGAATTTGTTCCGTCGCCCGCTCTGCACAGGCCGGTATGTTCGCCTTGCTCATCATCTCCTTGGGATCGACGATGGTTTTGAAGTCGAACCACATTTGATTTCGGTTATCTGGATGGCACAGCCAGGCTGCAGCTGCGTTGGCAGCTTGATTTACATCCAGCATGTGTTTAAGAAGACCGCAGAAGATATGGGCAGGAATCAGCCGTGCTAGGGAAACATGCACAGGTTGTGATTTGAACGTGTCGGCAATATGCGCGGTAAGTCGTTGAGAAATGGAGCTGAACGCGTCCATGACCAATTTGGGCACCACCTGAGTTGTGAGGGGTGCCACAAACGCAATCATCTTCTGATACATAAGCCAGTCACATTCCTTGATCCAAGGGGCAAGGTTAGGATGCGTTAGAAGTTTTTGAACTGGGACTGTTAATGTTCCGTGGAAAGCGGAAAAGTATTTCAACAAATTTCGCTCCTTGCAGTAGCGGAAACTGTCGATAACAGATATGCAGTGAGACCTATATAGTGCCGCAAGAGCGGCGGCCACTTTTGTGTCCGTGTTGGCCGGTAGATATGGTTGGATGTCCGGCAGCTGGAGCGATTCATTATCAACGGAGGGGCCTTCGGAAGGCGTCAAGGACAGCATCTGATGGACAATTCTCCCCGTCTGACTTGCGACATTCTCCAGAGTAATCGCCGAGTCTCCGCCAGATCGATTTGAAGGCTGGCAAGCACACCCCGAAGGAGATGGTCCGATGGCAAACCTAGGGGGAAATGAAGTAGTTGGAGAAGGGAAGACGGCAGTATCCATCGAGGGCTGGGATGCGTTGATACTGCTGAACAGTCAATATTCATGCCATCGTATGCCGAAACGGCGAGAAAGAAAGAAGAAACTCCCTGATACTTGCCTTTTCGGTTGAGTGGCTGGTTCCGCCTTTTGTTCTAGGACCAACGCTGACTGAGACGGGTTGGAAGGGAGATGGGAACTCATAGCGTCTGGTTTCTGTTGTTTCTCTTCGATGACAGTCAAGTCCACATAGTGATACTTTGACTCTCCACGAACCCCGAGTCGCCGGGTCTGCACGTTGGGAAAGATAATGCGAACGAGTTTTCCGAAGGAAGCAGGGTTGAGCACCGAGACGCGCTCTGTACCGCACTTTTCTGCGTAGCAGCAATAGACACGATCGCGCCGCACAGAGCCACTGCTTTTCCTGCAGTTTTCTTTCAACCTAGAATCGTATAAGTCGGCATGATTCTCCTGACCTACATTGATAGAAGGAATAACTCACCAAATCATGGCGAAGACTTGTTTCACCTTCTCTGCCTTACCACCGCCACCCTCATGCTTCAGCACTTCCGCCGCCATCTCCTTGAGACTGTACCCCTCGTATTGCCGCAGTAATTTCCGTAATTCGTTATCGTTAGCGAGGGTTGAACTAGACCCTTTTCTCTTTTTCCCAGTTTCCGAGTTATCATTTTCTTCAAGAACATGGTCCGGGATATGGTTTTCGATACCGCTATCATACATCGGTTGGTATTGGGGAACAGGGACCCCAGGCAAACCGTGGGGTGAAATCTCCGGGGGGAGTGAATGATGTGATAGGACATGTGCATGAAGTGCTTGGCTCTGAAATTCGTCGGCACGATGCATAACCGCGTGGTGGCTCTCCTGCAAAGTCCGGTCGAGGGGTGTGCCTGCATTCGAGTGCGATAACTGTTGACCGAAACGCATTAGCATGTCTTCGGGATTGGCTCCAAAGACATGATGGCCTGCTGGCGGCTGAGCGGGCAAGAAGGGTGAAAAATTGTCGGTCATATGTTGGTCGTGAGTCTGTTGGGTGGTGCTCGACTGGATGCTCGCGGTTGACCCTCGCGATCTCGGGCGGCGACCGTTTCTGGAGAGGGTCTCTGAACGTGCTCGCGTCGGGTCTGCAGTCCCTGGACGACTTTGTGGTGCCATTTGTGTAGCCTGGGACGCCGCGCTCGAGGCCAGGGACGCCGCTCGAACTGGATAGTCTACATGTTAGTCGAGGAGATTGACTTGATTATTCCTCGGAATAACTCCACCCGATCGTTGGGCAAAGATCAGTCAAGAGGCTCTTACCAAGATCAACAGGCATGTCTGGGCTGCTCGGTTTAATGCACGGATGGGCGGTTGGTGGTCGAGGTGCTCGGTAACCACAGAAAAGTAGCGTGTTTTGATCCTCCTCACGCCCACATCGACGGGCCCCAGACACGAGCGAGCAAGGCCGTACCAATCCGAGGGACTGCGAGACAGGCTGCTGAACGCAGCTGTTGCATGCACGGGATTTCCTTCTGCAGCAGAACAGGCTAGATGGGGCTCATGTCCGCCGCGAGGTGGTGTGGAGGGCTCGAGGGCTGGAGAGGGAATAAACAGACGGTCGCCGTTCCTCAGACAACGATTGTTTGCTTTGGCTCGGGTGGCTGGGCATCACGTGCGGTCAGCAGATCAGAGTGCTTATGTCAGCGCCGCATTCCTCGACCTGACGACATCCTGGGAATGTCTGGACGGTGAAAGGATTCGGTCAAGAATCTGAATACGCATAGCAAGGGAGCTAGCTAGCCTTGTGCAGGGTGTCTATATGTTAATCTAGGCAGGATTTCTACCGATTTTTCGCTCTGAACTGACCCAACACATCAATTAACTAGGTGTTGAGACAAGATACCCGACAACAGTGCCTCTAAACCAAGTACCTACTTACAAGAAGCTCGAGCTTGGAGACGCTATAAAACCAGATGAGAGGCTTATTCAAGAAGTCTCGAACGACAACTTGTGGACAAGTCGGAGAGAATTCAAGTTGTCAAGAATGCCGAGCTCCTAGTGGTTACCCCGTCCAGGTGAAACTTAATTGTTCCGCGAGTAGTTACCAGATAACTAGGTACCTAAATGCTCCGATATATTGATCATATGCCCTATCAGGAAAAGCAATGTGCAAGGAGTCGACAATAGCTGTGGTCAAAATCGTCTTCTGGACTTGGAATGATGTGCACTTACCCAGCACATTGACGCAAGTTACACAATGATCGCCTTCCGCCGAAGTGGCCAAGGAGTATAAAGTCTCCTGGTTACTCTGCGTAATCTATTCACATTTTATTCTATAACTCAAGATGGATAGTTAATGCAAGATACTTTGACAATATATTCAATTGTAGATAAACCCCCAATCTTGGACTCTATGAGCTCACCGCTAAAATCTATATAAGCCAGAAATATCGACACTTGAAGAATACTTTTGTACACCCCAAAAAAATATGTATGTACGGTAGAAACCCCCCCAAGACTCGTTTTCATTGCTTCGCTGAATGCCGTTCCGCTCGTGCTAATCGCCAGGAAGGTCCGTATCTCGTTTCAACCCACAGCAGGGGCACACAGAGCAGGGTGATACCACTGAGTAACATAAAAGTCCATCGCGCAGTCAGAGCGTCAATCATGGGCTGCACAAGGGCAACACCGGCGGCGCCAACAGAACATCTCATCAGGTTGTTGCAGGCCGTGGCGCTGGCGCTGGCGCCAGGGTACAGGTCAATGACCAGGGCACTATTGATGGTGAAGATCGCGGTTGCGCAGTAGGCAATGAAAAACTGCAGGATAATCGGCACAGCGAGATGAGTCTCAAGCGAGAACCCAAAGACTACCGTACAGACAAGGAAAAGTGCGGTGATCCACCACGTGTTTCGCATGCGAGCTCGCTCAATCGGGAAGTCCTTATGGGTCTTGGCAGTAATGCGAGTGTCTGCAGGGTAGCCATTCTGCTGGCAGTATTCACGCTCGGTCTTTCGGTGATTGTAGTCCATCAAATACCCTATAGAGTATGATCCGGCCATGCACCCGAAGCCTGAAGAAAGGAACTGTCAGTTGGAAGGTCGCATGCTATCAAGAGAGGCTGGCTACCTAGCTGACTGCTACCTACCGTTACCAAGATATGTCAGACCAACCTCCAGTGAGTTGAGGTGGTATGACTTTTGAAACAGATCCGTGGTGCTGGAAGTCACCATGCTCCACACGGTGTAGACGATACTGCCGAAAAATAAGGTGATGAAGACATCCTTCTCGGTAAGAAATTTCAGAGGAGCCAACAAGGTATGGATGGTAATCTTGCTATTGTCTTGGTCAAGATTATTTTCGACTGAAACTTGCGGTTGGCCCTTGATCATGTAGATGATAGGTTTGTGAATGCCGGTCAGCCGAGTACGTCCATCGCCAGCGATGGATCGCAGAGTCTCTGGAAGGAAGACGAGGATAGAAAGAAGACTCAAGGTAGCAAAGATAGTGAGGAACCAGAAAATCGAACGAAAGCCCCAGTATTGGGTCAAGACACCGCCAAACACTGGGCCAATTCCCTGTCCCAACATGCGTACTGAGATGACACGATCAGCCAGGCGCGTGAGACTCGGAAACGAGAGACAGGGTGCATCTTACCTCCACCAAAGATTCCAACTAAGCTTCCTCTCTCGGCAGAAGTTGTGATGTCTCCTATCACCCCGGCCCCTGTAAATGGTTTACCGGTTAGTCTGGCTGGACTTCCTCGCTCTTATAATTATAATGAATCTTTCATACCGATCGAGATCGTGGCAGCACTGCCTGCTGCCTGCATTGCTCGAAAAACCATGAGCTCAGCGTAGTTGTCCGACACTCCCAGGGCAATATTGGCTAAAAGGTACACAATAAAGGTCCCTATGAAGATTGGGCGTCTGCCAGTGACATCTGAGAAAGAGCCCCAGAAGAGAGGGGCGATGCCTTGGAAGACCATGTAAATGGTAATTGTAAGAGTTGCCAGGGACATAGAGATGTTCATTTCCTTCACAAAGTCAATCCAAACGTCCTATCCTTCCTGAAGATACCCGTTGAGATGAACGAGAAGAATAGAATAAACATACTCACCCTTGAGATATCTCCCAACGCAGGGAAGTAGATGTTTGACGACAGTGGAGAGAAGATAGCCGACATGGAGACAATACACACCATCTGGAGCTTCTTTGACCGAGTGAAGATATGGTATGGAGGAGCTGGGTCCTGTTGACTTTCGAGCCGAAGCGTCTCTTGCGGACTTGGTAATTGCTCGTCATCTTGCACCACAATGGTTGGCGTCGACCCAATGGATGTTGTGGTGACTTTCAGATCAATAATCTTTCCCATTTTCTTGACTTTGGGTGTGTCTTGTCTGTGCCATAAAACCACGAGGAAGGGAAAGTCGGCACTTTTATATGCAAGATATATGTCCACCGTCGATAGATATCTGCACTGCCTACTCAAGGGAGACCACCAACAACACTCCACTCTGGCTGAGAACCCACATCAATCCCCCCGATACCATGCACAAGCAGGGTCTCAGCGAGATCCACGGAAAGGACGCAAAATGGCCCTCTTCTCCACAGTGGATTGTCCATCTGTGTCGGCATATCCATCTCAAAGAACACGGCAGGCGACAGTGACTCAATCATCCACGGATCGTTTCCAGAGGGCGACGTCGACCACATATCCCAACCCATATAACCGCATTCCCTCTTCATGATGAGGGAGTTGGTGTTCGCAGGGTAGGTGTCTCGTTGACAGGCACTGAAAGCTTTCTGGAGGTCAGATGCGGCGACGGTCCCACGTGCGCCGCCTTCCTAGTCAAGCCCGAGCCAAGCTTGATCGACGAAAAAGCGGGCTACCGTTCCAAGTTGAGACTCTGCTCTTCATCCCAAGACGACTTGAGTTGATCTAACCTTACGCAGCAAGCATCAGGGTACGTCAAAGCTCCGACCTATGTCATAGACGAAGCGAAATAGGGGGCTCCTTGCTTGGGTTGTCGTCAGCGACTCAAAGGGATGTGTGGGAAAGGAGACCAGCTTTGGTTTGGGGTTTCTTTGACGAGATGTCGTCTGTCTATTCCGGTTGGTTGAATTCATAATCCCTACAGAATTACAGAGAGCTCCCTGCTAGTGAGTCCTTGGCGGCATAGCCCCGTTTGATGACAGCCTCTCACAGTCCACCAGGTACCCCGTACGGAGAAGATATGATGGGCAAAGAAGCCATGGAACATGACGTGGTGGCACCGATCTGTCCAACGTTGACAATAAGAGACTCTCGGACCTGATATTGTCTCCATTGTGGGGCTGATCTGCAGTCGGACTAGATGTGATAGTTCCAATAGACACTTCTCCTGTCTACTTACCTCGCTCTTGGCTCATCCTTGTGAACACTCGGCATCCCCTGGGATCTGACCGTTTCGGCTACCCGACAGCCACTCGGCACCGTCTCAGTCTGACTTGAATGGCAGGGGCCCAGGGGCCCGTTCCCGCTAGCAGTGAGGCCAAGAGGTAAAGAAAGATCCGACATGACTTAGACTTCTAAGCCACCCGTTCACATACAGGCTATTGATGCCGAGCGGCTGGGTTCGTCGGGGCGATCTACAGCCGACACTGTGTTACCTTTCATCGGCTATATGCTCTTCGAAGAAATGCTCGGTTTTCAATTGGATTTCTGTTGTGCCCTTCGCAAAGCGACCGGTTTACGTCTCATATCTCGAACTGACTCATCAGGTTATAAACCATCACTTGTCCTCATTACTCCATTGATGTCGGGGCCAAAGCCAGCTGAGATATGGGGCAGGGCATCAGCCCTGCCTCGGAAGGTTCCCTGAAATCCAAACCACACAAGCAAGGATCAAAAATAGATTGGATAAAGAATGGACAGGGCATTGGTCTCTTACTGCGCAGCCCAAATGTTTGATCGCCAAATAGCGCAAGAACTCTATCCTCGCCTCCCATTTTTGTGAACCGGGCTCTGACTCGAAATCTAAGGCAGCAGGATAAACTGCCAATGCCAAACACAGAACCCCTGATCATCATTGCATTGGGTACTTACTCTGTACTCTGTACAGAGAGTACTTTGAAACACAGCTGCTTAAGCAATTAGCACCCTGTAAAATCCAGGCACAACATTGGTTCATATGATTTTTAAATTTAAACAATTTACAATGGCCCGCTGTTGCCATCTTCCTTGTTCTTCAATCATCCCTTATGTCTTACAGGTATACTTTATGATAGCTATACTTAGTTATAAGCCATCCATGATTGGCCAATTCTAATTAATCCTAGCAGGTGCTAACTACTATATAGTTAAGTAAAGTACTTTATTTAAATAGGTAACTATAGATCCACTGCCTGCTTACCTAGTCTTAAACACATTGATATTAGACTCAGTCATTTTCTATTAGACTAATGCAGCATCTGCTACTCTACCTCAGATTTTAATTAGAAAGAATCATCCATTGTGTAGATTTCTCACTATGAATGCTGCAATAAGCGAAAAGTACAAAAGAAATAATTACTTCCTAGTAACTCTAGCAGAAGGAGATTGAAACAGTCAGGAGAGGGCAAAAGTACATAGAGAACCAAGAAAGACCCCAAACAGCCAAAAGGTCCAGCTGGCGTATAGATAGGTATATTAGCCTCTTGCCACCATATCCTACAAAAGATACGGAGCAAGGGACATCAATGAGCATAGTGTCAAGGAAATGGAGCAGGTCTCACTTCATAATGAAATTTAGACGAGATCCCGCTTGACGAACTCGGCAAGAAGAGTCTTGCCCAGGGAGGCAGGGCTTCTCTCGACGATCACACCAGCGGCCTCGAGAGCAGCGATCTTGGAGTCGGCACCGCCCTTACCACCGCTGACGATGGCGCCGGCGTGGCCCATACGGCGACCCGGGGGAGCACTGATACCGGCAATGAAGCTGACCGTGGGCTTGTTCTGGGTGTTGTACTGCTTGAGGAACTCGGCAGCATCTTCCTCGGCGCTACCGCCAATCTCACCAATCATGATGATACCGTCGGTCTCGGGGTCCTCAAGGAAGATCTTGAGGCAGTCAATGAAGTTGGTTCCGGAGAAAGGATCACCGCCGATACCGACGACAAGGGACTGGCCGAGTCCGGCCATAGTTGTCTGGTTCACAGCCTCATAGGTCAGGGTTCCAGAGCGGGAAACGATACCGACGCGACCACGCTTGTGGATGAATCCGGGCATGATGCCGATCTTGCATTGACCCTGCAATACCAATACGCGTTAACATATCAGAGCGACAAGACGTCGGACATTCTCGGCGGGGAGAAAAAAAGGACAAACTTACAGGGGCAATGATACCAGGGCAGTTGGGACCAACAAGACGAGTCTTGTTCTGGGTCTTAAGGATATCGGTGATGCGAACCATATCTAATGCAAGTCAGCTCAGGTAATAGAAATACCTCGCGAAAGCAAAGAAAAAAAAAACATACCGTGCTGGGGGATTCCTTCGGTGATACTAAATGATACTATCAGTAAAATTATCCTTTGCATCCGGACCACAACCCTGAGGGAACCCACCAGACAACGAGAGGAACCTCGGCCGCGATGGCCTCCTCGATACCCTTGGCAGCAAGAGGGGGGCTATTATCGAGTAATTAGTTTTTCTCCAACATGAATATATACCAAAAAACGGTTATATAGCAAGGGTTCGTACGGGACAAAGATCGCAGAAGCATCGGCACCGGTCTCCTTGACGGCGTCGGCGACAGTAGCGAAGACAGGTAGGTCAAGATGCGTCGTGCCCGCCTTCTTGGGGTTTGTGCCACCAACAACCTTGGTTCCTAGCATAGTGTGAGTGTTTTATCGATCCCTGATCCGAATTTGCGAAGGATAAATACCGTAGGCAATAGCTTGCTCGGCGTGGAAGCTGCAGGGAAAAAAAATAATGTCAGTCTCAATCCGCAGCACCCTGGCTCTTCAAGCAGGTAAAAAAAAACCCCGCATATCACTTACGTTCCCTGCTTGCCAGTGAAGCCCTGGAAAAGAACCTTAGTGTCTGCATTTATCCGCAGGTTTTTGGCAGTCTGAGCATAGGGAGAGCTGGGGGTGCTATATCCCCGTCGCTGCGCGACATTGCGCAGGGCAGAAACGGTACCACGGCGAAAAGCCTGCATTTTTGCAAAGGGTGACAGGAAGAAGAAGAAAAATACACGAGATTTAGGGGGGGAGGAAGAGAGGAGACTTTGCACTTGGGGGAAGACCGTGCTGGGAGTAGTTGGTAGGGACAAGTAGGTGAGGTTTCGTTTCAACCCGGGAAGCGGCGCGGCCAGTTCGGGATCGATTTGGACAAAGCTTTCAGTGGATCCCGACTGGGCGCGGTTGGCGGCTATCCATGTCGATAAGAAATTCCATCCCACTACGAGACCGCCACCTGCTGCGATAGAACGAGAGAGCAGACGGCGAGAAACATTGGGGATCAGAAAAATAGAGAGAGAGAACAAGGCTGTTACGATAATACTTACAGCATGGCGACCATGACAATGACCGCCGCGCCACCGTCGCAGCGAAAGTCGAACAAGGCGTCGAAACTCCCACCAGAGAACGAGAGATACATGAGGGCGTGTTCAGATGTCGCTAACGCACTGATTCAAGAGTATGAGGCGCAGATGGATCCGGGCAAGCCCAAGAAAGACATCAATCTCAACAAGTTGCGGGGACAAATATCCAAGAAACATGCGCTTAGCACGCAGCCATCGCTGACGGCGATTATCGCGGCCGTTCCTGAGCACTACAAGAAATATATCTTGCCGAAGCTGATTGCCAAGCCTATCAGTACGTTGATTATCCCAGTGAGGGGGGAGGGGGGAAGTGTCATGATTCGGATGCTGATGAATTCTCTCTCTCTCTAGGAACCTCGTCGGGTATCGCTGTTGTCGCCGTGATGTGCAAACCCCATCGATGCCCTCATATTGCGTATACGGGGAATATCTGTGTGTACTGCCCGGGAGGTCCCGACTCGGACTTTGAGTACTCGACGCAGTCGTACACAGGGTACGAGCCGACATCGATGCGTGCGATCCGCGCACGCTACGATCCGTTCGAGCAGGCGCGTGGGCGCGTGGAGCAGATCAAGTCGCTTGGCCATAGTGTGGACAAGGTTGAATACATTATTATGGGTGGGACGTTCATGTCTCTTCCAGAGGAGTACCGCGATACGTTCATCTCGCAGCTTCACAACGCTCTGAGCGGGTATGAGACGAAGAACGTGGATGAAGCGGTGCAAGCGGGCGAAATGAGCAACATCAAGTGCGTAGGTATCACGATCGAGACGCGGCCCGATTACTGTCTGGATACACATCTGAGCAGCATGCTCCGCTACGGGTGCACGCGGCTGGAGATCGGTGTGCAAAGCCTGTATGAGGATGTGGCCAGGGACACCAACCGCGGCCACACCGTTGCTGCTGTGGCCGAGACGTTCAAGCTAGCCAAGGACGCCGGCTTCAAGGTGGTTAGCCACATGATGCCCGACCTGCCGAATGTTGGGATGGAACGTGATCTGTTCCAGTTCCAGGAATACTTCGAGAACCCGGATTTCCGCACCGACGGGCTCAAGATCTATCCCACCCTGGTCATCCGCGGCACAGGGCTCTACGAGCTGTGGCGGACGGGACGGTACAAGAACTATACGCCCAACGCGCTGATCGACGTAGTGGCTCGCATTCTCGCTCTGGTGCCGCCCTGGACACGCATCTACCGCGTCCAGCGTGATATCCCGATGCCCCTAGTGACCTCTGGGGTGGAGAACGGCAACCTGCGCGAACTGGCGCTGGCCCGGATGAAGGATTTCGGTACGACCTGCCGGGACGTGCGGACCCGCGAGGTGGGCATCAACGAGGTGACGAAAAAGATCCGCCCGTCTCAGGTGGAGCTGGTGCGGCGCGACTACATGGCCAACGGCGGGTGGGAGACCTTCCTGGCCTACGAAGACCCCAAACAAGACATCCTGATCGGCCTGCTGCGCCTACGCAAGTGCAGTCCCACGCACACCTTCCGCCCAGAGTTCACCGGCCAGCAGACAAGCATCGTCCGCGAACTACACGTCTACGGGTCTGCCGTGCCGCTGCATGGCCGCGACCCGCGCAAGTTCCAGCATCGCGGCTTCGGCACCTTGCTGATGGAGGAGGCCGAGCGCATCGCCCGCGAGGAGCACGGCAGCTCCAAGATCAGCGTCATCTCCGGCGTCGGCGTTCGCAGCTACTACGCTCGTCTTGGGTATACCTTGGACGGGCCGTACATGTCCAAGACTCTGGATCCGTACGAAGAAGATGAATTCGGATTTTAATCGGAAAAAAAAAAAAAAAAAAGGAGGGGAGTGCTTGCTGGAAAAATAAGGCGTTCGGGTGTTGTTTTCTTCACGCTATGATCTTTAGTATATACTCTGGCATTAGGGGCGTTGATTGCTTAGTAGGAGCCATTGATAGCAGTCAAATACAAATGACAATTATCTGCCATTTATACCCTTCAGACTCGTCGAAGAATCAAAGATCGCGTCTATATCTTGGACGAGAAAGACAGTCGCCCATGCGATCTGCATCGCGTATAACGATGCTCGTAAATAGAAAAGCAGGCGCCCATTAAATGAAAAAACCCCATCCAAAATTTCTAAGGGGAAAAAAAGCCAACGAAAACCAAAGAGTGTACATCAGAACCGAGCCAGAAGTGTTCGATACAAAGCCACAACCTGCCTCAAGCAGATCTCCCATTCCAAACACCTGGGGCGGGTTTTTCTTTTCTTTTCAGATTTGCTTTCATATAGTTATCGCCCGTCTTGATAGTTGCCGATAGTTTCGTCAGGTGTATATCGTATATGTTGTAGATATATATGTCCAATTCAGTTCAACGATATGGCACCCCCCCTCTTACTCCGCAGATGGAGATAAGCCTGGAACCCACAGAAGACGAAGAAACCCTGTAACACATCCGTACGTTAGAGAGAGCAGAAAAAAGAAAATAGAAGCTGGGTTTCTGGGTTACTCGTACAGCGTAGACGATCACGGCGGTAAAGATCGAGGCGGCAACCGCGGCCCCATCCTCGGGTGCCTCTTCTGAACCGGTATATGCGTGGTTGTTGCTCTAGAATAATATTGTTAACGACGTTCAATAAATATATATATATATCTCTCTCTGTGTGTGTGTTGGAGCGATGGACGAACCTTGAATAGCGATCCGAGAACCGAGAGTATGACGATGGCGAATAGGGAGATGACAACGCTGTCACTCATTAGTTATATTGAGGATGGCTCATGGTGGCACATAGAAAGCAGATCTCTTACCAACTCCAGGCGTTCATGGCAGACACGACGGGCTTCATGGTGGTGGTGGTCGATTCAGCGATTACGCTGACAAGCCGGGCTGAATTGGATAGGTTGATCGGATCGTAACGAGGGTAATAGCGAGGATGGTTTTTCCACACAAAGAATTAAACAGAGAAAGAGAAAGAGATAGAGAAGCCAGAGAGAGATCCTCTGTTTGGCTCTGGGGTATGGGGGTCAGTTGGCTGATCTCGAAGCTCGTCGGAAGCCTGGGACGGAGCAGCGCGGCGCAGCGACAGGCGGGCGGAACTGCCCCTGCGCCGTTTCGGGTTAAGTCGATTCGTATACTGGATAGTACTACACCATGACATATAGTTGAAGTTCATAGATCATGAAACTGGTATTTTATGAATCTTATTGAATCTGTTTATCTTGAGTTCTTATCTCCTATGTAGAATGTTCTTTTTTTCATAAATACGGAGTATATTTAGTATATTTATTGTCTTAAGGTGCCCCCCCCCCATCAGTGACCTTTATTCCATCTGACACATTCGTCAAACGTTACCCCAGAGCCGCCAAAAATATCCAGAGCACTCCCGATGGTTAGATCTACTTTTCCTCGACTGCTAAGCTGGACTTTCTCGAGGTCTTGGAGGTTCCGTGCGCCCCCAGCATAGGTGACAGGGATCGTACACCATTCGGCCAGTTTAGCGACCAACTCTTCATCAATCCCTTGCTGTAAGCCCTCGACATCCGCGGCATGGATGAGAAACTCGGAGCAGTAGGGCTCCAACATCGAGATAGATTCTAGAGCTTGGTCAGAACGGGGGTGATCCGGTAAAAGATGAGGTTCATTCAAAAAAAAAAAAAAAAAAAAAAAAAAAAAAAAAAAAAAGAATTACTCGCCTTGGTTTATTTCCATCTCTGTGATGGTCTGCCATCGGTTCATGGCCACGAACCAGGTATCGTCTTTTCGCCGGCAGCTCAAGTCCAAGACCAGCTTCGACTTGTCGCCGCCCAGCGCCGAGAGAACTGACTGCAGCCTTTGAAGCGAGAATTTGCCTTCGGGAAACAGAAAGGATGTAATGATGACCTAAGCGTTGGTTAGACAAGAGGAGATTCAATCAATGGTGAAGAACTAACCTTGTCGGCGCCTTGGTCAATCCAATACTGTGCGTTCTTATCCGTAATCCCCCCCGCCACCTGGAGCCCGCCAGGCCATGTCTTGAGCGATTCCTTTGCGGCCTCATCATTGCCAGGTCCTAGCATCACCACGTGGCCGCCGCGGAGGTCATGTTCCTGGTACAACCGTGCATAGTGACTTGCAGGGAGTTTGGATATATAATTTGTTTTCAGCTCCTCCGCAACATTGCTAAGCGTCCCGCCCACGATCTGCTTCACCTGTCCGGAGTGCAAGTCGATACAAGGCCGGAATTTCGTCATCTTCGGTTCCGTCTTGTCAATGCAAGCCTGGCAATAGCTCCAACTTTCCGATGCAAGTTCAGCAACAATAGTCGGTGGGTAGGAAAGGTAATAATTGTGGTCGAGGGGTCAACCCCATGCCCGCTATCTTATCACACGTGACCCGATATTGGCAGAATTTCGAAAACTTTCAGTCGGGGCTCCTGGTGTTAGTTTCGTGACTGAATCGACACAGTACCTTTCATACCCCGGGAAAAATGATTGGAAAGCGGAAAAGAGACAAGTCCGTTGTCTCGAGGAGCACGATAGAAGATTCTTCCGATAGCCCCTCTGCGAGTACGGATGCGGCCCACGATGTCTTCCGAAGATACTTTGAAGCAAAGTTTCAGCCATTAAAACCACAATCAGTCCAGAAGGCAGAACCGGGTGAAGGGATGGATGATCATCTTGATGAGTCGGTGACAGGCTCTGACTGGGATGGGCTGTCTGAAGGAGAGGAGGACGAGGGGGAGGACGAGGAGGACCAGGGGGTCGAGGTAGAGGTTGTTGACCATACGGCTTCCTACAACACCAAGGACGATCTGTTGGATAAAAAGGCCCGAAAGGCATTCATGGTTTGTCTCCCGATTTCTCACTACTTCAAAAAAAGGGAAAAAAAAGTACTTTCTGACCTTACTGTGATGCAGAGCGCTAAAGTACCTTCCTCCGTAACCGCAAGTCGTTCGAAAGCTACGTCTACGAAGGATACGGAGAAGGAGACGAAAAAGGAGGAAGGAGAAGACGCGCTGGACGTGCAAAACTTGAAGAATGACCTTGCGCTACAAAGACTGCTGCGGGAATCCCACCTTTTAGACTCGGCGTCAGATCTGGCACCAACGGGAAAGAATCGACACAAGGCAATCGATCTTCGGCTGCAGGCGCTCGGGGCAAAAACATCGATTTTCAAGCAGGAGAAGATGCCGTCTGCGCATCGGTTGGGGATCAATGCCAAAGCGGCGATGAAAGAAGACAAACGGCGACGCGAGGCCAAGGAGAACGGCATCATCCTCGAGAAACCAACGTTCAAGTCGAATGCGAGCGATGCCAAACGCCGCGAGCGCGGCGTCGGGGGTCCCTCGATTGGCAAATTCGCCGGCGGTGCTCTGAATCTGAGCAAGAGAGATCTGGCTCGCGTGCAGGGGCCCTCCAGGAGAGGGCGGGGGAAGGGGAAGTCCAGAGGGCGCCGCTAGGAGAAAAAACTCCGAAGTTTTCCCTTTTTTTTTTTCCCAACGCATGATGCCACCACCTACGGAGTACTACGGGAGTAACGGTGTTTGGATGCTTCTTGTTTTTTCTTTTCTTTTCTTTCTTTCTTTTTTTTCGGTAGCAATTGCCGAACCGTGACCACCGTCTCCGTGGTCCGCAGAAAGCAGGATTTTGAAACCCACTTATGAGCAGTGAGCACACCGTCACAAGCACGCTAAAATCCACGGGTTGATGGGTTATTAATGGCAGCAAACACGTTTTCGCCGTTATCGGTAGCTTGTGAAGCGTTTTGGATCCTCAACGCTCGAGCCTCGAGTCAAAAAGACGCTATTCCAGGAGTTCGTCCACCAGTTTAGCAGAGCAGCAGGGGCACCCGGCACTAAGTGATACACCAAAGCACACCAAGGCAGGCCGAAGCAAGCTAGAAACATGTGTGTACAGTGTACAGTGTACAGTAACTAGTTAGCTAGTTAGCTAGTGCACACTGTACTCCGTACCTGGCTAAAAAACTAAAACTGTCCGTCTAGTCAAGGCCATGAGCTGGGAACTAACGCGAGACGCTGTTCCCTTTCCGGCGAGATCTCCGACCTGGGCCTGAAACGAGCCTAAAAACAGGTCTTTGAAACGGTCTAGGGGTTGGGTCTGGGTCATGCCTGAATAGGATTAGATATTGGATTTACTATGTAGTAGCATATACCTTGATGCAATCTACGCTGTGGTGGTGAGTAGTAGCTTAAGTGATGAGATATTTCGTCACCATTGGCAAATATCTAGGTAGACAGGTACCTAGTACTGCATATTATGATAACTAGTTCTAGGTACGTGGACGTTATGTAGTAAGTTAACTACTACATAACTACCAGTAGTAGTGACGGTTACTAGATTAACATCTTAAAACACCCAAGTGGCTACTAGGTACTAGGTAGTAAGTGGTTAGCTAGTATCAGACGTACGTATACGCAAGAGCCGAGGTTTAGAAGTCAACCAAGTAGTAGATAGACAGTTAGAGAGTTACTATAAGTAGCAACAAGATGAGCATGGGTTAACTTGATCAATTGACGGGAACTGGTAGAAGGGTACAGAGTACCTGGTCTGAACCAGTATTTGTTACCTAATGTACGAAGGGTAGTTAACTAGTACCTAGGTTAGGTACCTAACCTACCTAGGTACTCCATACCTGGAGAATGGATATGGGATACGAGGTTTAGAGTCCAACAGCTACGGCTTCTTAATGCCTTACCGACTAGTCTAATCCATGGTGTTGTAGGTAGGAAACATTGTCAAAACCTGGACAGAGTCATTTATATTTATACCTTGTATACTGAGATGTGCCGCCGACTCACCTGCTACCTTGGGTACCTACTACCTGCTTGATACCTGTTACCTAGGTAGTTACCTCGATACTTTGGTAGATGGTAGGTAACTATCTCCGGTAGATAACCAAGTCTCTAATTCTAGGTACGGAGTACTGGGAAGTCTCTCGGAGAATATTGGAGCTAGTAGTGTACCAGTAGACTAGCTAGACAGTAACTAGTTAGTTAGTTAGTTAGTAACTTACTCCGTAGTACTCCAGCCAGAATTTACAAGTTAGTTGGTAGTGCTAACTTAGTACAAGTTAGTAGCAACTAACTACGGGTAGTTACCTAGGTACCTAGGTAGTTACCGTTACCTGGGAAGCAAGATCTGGACCGACTCAGTAAGTCTCCGATAGTCCGATCTGCCAAATTTTGATTAATTACCTGGAAGTTCAAACAATCGTTTCAACATGGCGATCAAACAGAGAAATGAGGTGAATGTTTACTGTAAACATTCGAAGAATCTTAGCCAGAGGATCGTTTAAGTCCCAGGTAAGGTTTGCTAGTCCAGTTGTACCTGACTAGCCAAAATAATCCACCCAGTCCGACCCCACCTGCGGGCGACAGGTACCATGGATGGCTCAGGTACTTGGTCTTACTAGGGACTTACTACTTGGTTCCTCGGTTGTCGGAAGGGTACCCTGTTTACTACAGGGACTTGGACGGCTCGCAAGATGACTGTAGTTGTGTATGGAGTACTATGGTAGGTACTGTACTACATAGGAGTAGGTATGTAGTACTGTAGTACTAAGTACCTAGTAGTGTTCAGGATAACCCATTATTTAATGAGGAATGCATTCAAATAAATGAGACAGAATTCTCTATTATATTAATTACTACTACATAGATCGGCAGTGGGGAGCAGATGACTCTCTGCTTGACGTGCAGATGCAGACCATTTCTGTAACTGTCAGCGAGTCTACCTACTAGGTAGGTACCTACCTAGGTAGGTACTAGGTACTCTACTACTCCTCGTAATACATATGTACTACACAGAACTCTGTATACAGAGTATACAGAGTATACATATGTACTAGATGCTAAGAATACTGATGAGACACTAGAGAATAATGCTACAACGGAGGATTGTTTCAGGTTCCGTGCCTGGAAGCCTTAGGCGCATGCCTGGAGGATACGAGTATCCTGAAGTTCTGAGGTGTCGACTTACTAACAGACCGGGTAAGATAGAAGTGGCACTTCCATCCTATTGGCTTCGTATTGGCGCCCACGTCCATTCTGAAACAAATGCTCAGGGCCTGATGGTGTTTCTTGGCGGTGCTGAAACTGACTAGGTACGAGTAGGTAGTAGGTAGTTAGTAGGTACCTAGTAGTAACCATATCTATTTACACTGTAGTAATGGGAAATGTATTATTATATTATTATATTATATTATTATAATGAATTCTGAAAACTCATGTTAAGGAGTCAAGGAGTAAGAATCGAATAGATCGGGGAATAGATGGATTAGGGATAATGTCCGATGCTACAATTCTTCAAGAGCGCACCAATCGAAGGCCTTTGAGTACGAGATCTCATGTTTGGATGTAGTGGACTAGACCACTGTAATTACTCCGTACTACAGTATAGCAGTAGATCTGACGGGAGTCGACGGTAGAATTACTGTACGGATTACATTGGTATAAATAATACTATACTACAATACTACAATATTACAATATAACAATAACAATATAATAAGAATAGTATAATATATAATATAATAAATATTATAATAATATAATAAATAATACCATTATCCTTGGCGTTCTGGACCAGCATTGATTGATCTTTGGGACCAGCCGGCATCTCCACTCCTGATCAAGAATAGAAAAAAGGAAGAGAGAAAAACGGACCCTCGAGTGGACACTGGAAGAACAACCTGGCGCCGGCCTCCGCTTCCCAGCCATATATTATTATCATATTATTATATTATTATATTAATATCGTTATTATTATTATTATTATTATTATTATTATAATAATATTATTATTATTCCTCGTATTTTTCCATAAGCATTGACCACAAAGTACCAGTACATCCGCTCCTGAACGGCTGGTTCGGTTCCCCTGCTGAACCACATTCCACTTCCACCGTCCCAGCGATTCCTTTCCTTGTACGCAGCGCAGAGGTAATAATAAGATCGCTTTGCCTTCTCTTCCCGCCTTACTCCCTCCCCTCTTGTCT